AGAACACTTCCCTAACCCAAGAGCAAGGTCACCAGTAAATAGATTGGAAGAAAAATCCAATAGCCTAAGGAAGGGAGAAGAATGTTGGAGACAAATAGAGGATGGGACATACCCTGTGAAGCTATTGTTGCTAACATTGAAACTAGTTAAGTTGCTTGCTTGTTGGAAGAATGAAGATGGAATTGCACCAATGAAGTGATTGCTGGACAAATCAACTGTCCGGATATTGCTAGATGGTAGAGAAATTGGTAGCTCTCCAAAAAGACGGTTATAGCTCAAATCAAGGACCTCAAGTCGATTCAAAGACAAGAAGAACTGAGTTTCAAGTGAAGCATATAGTGAATTGTGGGAAAGGTTCAAGTGGGTGAGATGTGTGAGATTTTCAAGTGAAGAGGGAGAGATACCTCCTTTGAGCCCTTTGGAAGGTAAGATCAAACGGGTGACCCAACCATCTTGATTACAAGTGATGCCCTTCCAACGACAGCAATCAAAGGATGTCCAATTTAAAGGAGGAGAAGAGAGAGTGAAGGCAAAGGATAGAAGGGAGCTGTGTTCAGTTTGTTTGCAGGCATGAATATTTGTGGATATAATGTAAGAGAATAAGAGGAAGAGAAGGAAGGCATGAGCCATTAGGTTATAAGCTTGCACTAGCATGTTGCTTTGTGTATGTGTCGTTGCGCACATGTATATTTATATGTATAATCTAGAGACCAAACTAGTTTCACCGTTCTTAATTGTCTCTAGAGACCAAAGTAGTTTCGTCCTCAAGCAAAGATCTTCTTATACGATAGCAAAGTTGTTTTCCACGTTAATCACTCAAAGTCCAAGTTCAAAGTTGTTTTCTTGTTGATGATTCTTCTAAGAAAATTCAAATTTGGAGGATAATCATTCTTTCCAAGTTGTTTGGCCCACAAGAAGGCAACTACTATAATGTTCAACCCACTGAGTGGGCATGCGGTATTAAAAAGGCAGACAATTGAAAACAAACAAATAAACAGGTAGACAATTGCTATAATATCAGGATTAAAAAGGCAATTACTATCATACCCAGCATTCAAAAAGCAATTATGCGAACTTCAAAGGCCAACATTGACCGCCTAAGTGGAAAATTATCATCATCGAATTCTACCTAATTACATGCTGCATAAGACAAATTGGAAATAATTAATCAAAGTTGATGGAACCCTTATCGGTTACCTGCCCATTCAATCACTGCTAATCAAGTTTATTTGGACCAATCATGCTCTAACTCTGCGCGGCAACGACCCACAGTAAATTACATGATTGTGTGGTTGGGTGGGGGTCTATTTGTCAATCACCATCTTGACTTGAAGATTGTTGATTGTGAATATACTGCCTCTTAAACTTTCTACAGCGTCCCCCATCTTCCGTCGGCCTCTTTGGTACCCCTTGGTATCGTTTACTTCTCCTTGGTGGTGGTGGATCGGCTGGTGGTGGTGTTAGCTTGCTTTGGGTGGCGGCTGCTTTGTGTTCTAATTCTAGGGTTTTTTTGTTTAAAGTTTTCTGGGCTTTGTTGTTTTTTTGGGCCTGCTGTATTCGTTGGTTTTGGGCTGCATTTGGATTGAGTTTTTCTCTTTTTGTAATGTTTTCCATTATGAATGAATAGAGTTTCCCAAAAAAAAAAAAACAAAAAAAAAAATCTACAGCGTTTTGACAAAAACAAGGGAAAACAAATTTCTACAAGCTTTATTATTTTAATATTTCCTATGATATATTTAATCTGTTTAATATTATTTATTATATTATAATGGAGTTGCATTATCTATTATCTATTATCTATCTATATATAAAGCAAAAGGTAGGTAAAGAAGGTGTAGTAAAATATTATATATATAAAAAAATTATGGTGTTTTTAATCTTCTTTTATTAATTACTACAAATTTGCTAAAGTCATAGTATTTAATTCGCTATTTAAATCACGCAAACCTACCATGGAATGCATTTCCTACCAATTTTTTGTGATAAAATAGTAGATAATTGACTAAATAAACATATAATATTATATTTGACTCCAATACTTTGAAAAACCACCAGAATTGAACATATCATGCGGATACTTGATTTGGTACTGACATGCCCATATAGTTATTCAAATGCATCTATCCTGCTAACTTAACAATTTAGCTCAAGTACAACCTCTTCATGAATTGCCAAAGACAGAAAGGCTATTATAACTCTTGAATTTTCTTTCTTATCTTGAGTGGTGCAATGACTGCTTCATCCGATCATTCACAACCGGAGCAATTTGCCTTCCCTTTGAGCTAAGCGATTAGTTTTGCAGATACTTTATATTGGTAACACGTGTTTATCATAGAGACACTAATATATTAACAGACAAGCGAGAGAGTAGTTCTTATCATTTTTGTGCGGGATATAACTCATGCTCCCATACACAAATATGTCCATAGCATGAGCTCCTCCACTCCAAAATGAAATTCTGAATGTCTTCATTGGCTTAAAAGCCCTGAGTTTATGTGTTTCTTCCTCATGTGTATAGACAAAGTTCACAAATTTTTGTCAGCTAGGATATCAAATATTTTTATGATAAATGATTCAAGGCATGAGGGTGCTTACCATACGCTCCTTAATATCAACAAGCAACGAACCAAGTTAAAAAGACATGAAAACAAATGGCGACTTCAATATTCAAACATAACCTTTGAGCCCCACATGCCAAAGCACAGCAGCAAGGGAATTCCAATCCAAAACATAGACATAGACATCAATCCTTCACAATTGACAACCGTATTACATGAATATGCATCAGTTTTCATATCTTTGGACTGAGTATGCAAAATAAAAGGTACAATATTAATAATATATATCTAGCCTCTAAGCCTTTTTTTCATCGTGTTGATGTGCACTGTTACCATCACATGGACCCTATCTTGTAGATTGTCTATGAATCGAAAATATGTGTATTTCCATGTCTTGTTAATAATTAAAAAACCACATACTCCCCAAAATCCCACTATGAACCCCAACGCAGTGAAAATATAAAACCATAGAAGTTGATGAAGCCCATTGTGCACGTCTTTGTTGTTCTTTTTATCCGCATCAATGCCCTTATTTGGTCCACACTTATTTGGAAGTGGGACACCACAAAGTTTTTGGAAGATATATGGTGTTATTTTTCACTAACCTTGTTTGAGAGTGATGTGGCCGGAGATATATGGGAATGTCTGCCACTAATCTTGCTTCTAAATAATCGCTCTGAATTTGGGATGTGAAATTGGATGAGTTGGTGATGAACTGAAATGGGTTCTGATCACTTGTTCTTGTCTTTAAGTTACTAAAGACCAACTGAAAACAAACAAATAAACAAGAAAACAATTACTATAATATCAGTATTAAAAATGCAATTACTATAATACCCAGCATTCAAAAAGCAATTAAGACTGCCAAAGAGGAAAATTTTCATCATGGAATTCTACCTAATTACAGTTAGCCGTCCATTCAATCACTGCTAATCAAGTTTATTTGGACCAATCCATGAGGGAAATCAAGAAACGCGGCCGCTGAAGACTCGCTTTTTTCCACTACACGACTATTTAACCAGAAATGAAATAGCAATCTTTTGGAAAGCAGCGAATTTTGTGACCATTGCTCAACTCTATACATATTTTATTACAAAAGGGAGCGGAGATTTAATATTCACACCTTCGTTCCCATAGTGATTTAGTACGGTGAAAGTAGATAGTAAAAGATGAAAGTGAAATAATACCGTACATAGAGTGATTCAGTGATACATCTTTTTTTTTTCTTTTTTTTTTTTACTGTTGGCATAATGTTAACAGAGTCTAGCCGAGTGAATAATGACATTTATTTGCACACTAGTCTCATATCACCTTGGTAGTTTGTGAGAAACCTCCCTCCACTTAAGTTTAGACTATCGCTTGTATTTAAAAGTAAAATAAAAAAGTTGTAAGACCTAACAAAATAAAGTAAGCTGAAGCTGAATGGAGGCATCGATGGTTAGCAAATATATTTATTTCTTCATTGACGCTAAGCTGACATATCAATGGCTTGGCCTCAGTTCCCTCAGTAGTCCCATTGGAAGAGTTCAGATACCAACACAAGCCATGTTAGATTTGAATGCAAATTACTTTGCGCGGCAACGACCCACAGTAAATTACATGATTGTGTGAACGAGAGCTGCCTCCTAAGAACTTGTGGTTTGAATGCAAATTACTTTTTGATCCATGTTTGCAGATTGCTTGAAAATCTGGAAGGAATATAAGATGTGACTTCTAATGGGGTTGGTGGGGGTCTATTTGTCAATCACCATCTTGACTTGAAGATTGTTGATTATGAAGACTAAATCTTATCGCTTAAGATATAAGATATAAAAAAAAAAAAAAAAAAAAAAAAAAAAAAAAAAAAGATATAATATATTAGAGAGGCTAATTACTGATATCTTGGAAATTCCCACTCTTAAATAAATCAATAATTAAAATCTACCGTAAATCAATTGTAATTGACTCCATAAAACAATTTAAATGGATTAGCTAGAGGGTAGGGCCATTCCCACCACAGATTAAACTAATACAACCCCATACTAGTTCCCTTTAAACTATAATTTCATTTGTATGACATAAAGTTCTTCGTCAACTACTTAATTACCAAAAAAAAGAAAAAAGAGAAGCCACAAATATGGTTTCATTAAAACTTGGCCTTAAAAAATTCCAAAAAAGAGAAAAATTCAATAAAGAAAAAATAATACTACAGCTAATTCAAGACTGTAGCGCAAATGAAAATTGAGGTTCCCTTCTAAAATTAATTGGCAATAAGAGAAATAGTCCAACTCCTTATAAACACAAGATTTTCTAACTTTCAAATATAAAATGCATTTCACTTCACATTCTCACCGAAAAAAAGATGTACAAATACTATTGTTGTTGGGCAAGCATTTAAGAGGCCAACTTTGACTGCTATTGTTGTTGGGCTGCCCACCACTCCAGTTCTATGGCTGCTGCACATTACTGTAGTTTGGACCCATGTTGTTGTGGGGAGGCATTGGACCCACGTTGGGGGGCGGGGGGGCCCATATTGTTGAGAGTCCTCATGTTGTTGGCAGGTCCAGGCATGTTAGGCCCAGGATTTTGCCCAGCTTGATTAGGCATAGGAGGCTGACCCCTGTTCTGAAAATCTCGGTTCTGCATATTTTCCCTCCTCCTATCAAAGTTCCTTGATCTGTCATAATTTCGAGGTCTGTCATTGCGTCTGTTTCTCTCGTTTGCTCGGCTTTTGCTTCTTATCCATTCCTCATGGTACTTGGGATCGTATGGTACTGCTTCACCATTAATAAAAGGTTCTCCTGCCAAAACAAAAAATAACAAGAAAGCAGACAATCATGTATAAATGAAAACTTGATTGCCCAAAAACTAATTGAAAACATACGAATAAACAGGTAGACAATGTACAACAGAATGGCAGTTTAAGATTACTATAATATCAGTATTAAAAAGGCAATTATTATCACACCACTACACCAAATTGAAGTTTTTACGACTGGATATTTACTGTACGCTTTTTGTGCTAGTCGTTAATAATTGACATTTACGGCATATGACAAAGCATGCCTTAAAAAGATAGTAAAACATGCCGTTAATAACTAATATTTACGGCATATGAAAACACGCCTTAAAAAAAGTAATTTTTGTGTCTTTTAACGTCATGATTGAATATAAGCCTATATATATTGCGGCGTACGATTGAGTATGTCGTAATTTGTAATTCAATTTTATTTTATTTTTGCCGAAAACCCCCGATATATTTTCATTTCGGTAAAAACATAATTTCCCTCGTTTTATTTTTCATTCATACGTTAACGTTCTCTTTACTTCTCTCTCCATCTCTCTCTCAAAATTTCTGAATTCTCTCCCACAATTTCTGGATTCTCTCTCTGCATGTTGTTAATCAAGAGCTCCAATTCCTCATTCGCAAGAAGACTATTGCTGGAGCCCTATTGCTTCAAAGCTAAATTCTCAGTGACATTCCAAAGGTGCGATTCTCCAAAGCCCTAACCCCCAATGCTTGATTATGAGTTTTCTTATAGCTTTAGAGTTGAGTTTTATAAAGTATAGAATTGGACTTCAACGTAGGCTTAGTAATGGGTATACCCAGCATTCAAAAAGCAATTATGCGAACTTCCAAGGCTAATATTGACTGCCTAAGAGGAAAATTTTCATCATCGAATTCTAGAGAGCAACACTGTCTTTTTTTCTTTGTGAACTGGGGTGGGGAGGGCAATGCACCCCAGCAGCAACTACACAAAATTATATTTTCATCATCAAATATAAATTTCAGGCAACATTAATAATTGATGTATATGATACAATTGCAGGTACTTGTTGAAACGTCGAAGATATCAATCTATCTAAAATTTAGTATGTAAAAGTGATCAAAACCATGCTATATACATCAGACCATTATGCTCATGATATAGAGTTATTACAGGTCCGATTTTAAAGACTAAAGGACAACTACCAACCATATTGCCAATCACCAAGATTTGTAATCCCACACTTCGCAGCTAATATAGACCAACAATATAGCCTTAGTGAAACATGCGCATGCTATAGGAAGAAATTAGTCAAGAATTCGGCCTTCAGCCATGAGTATCGAGTTTAGCCTTCGGTCAATCATATGGTCTTCCACCATGATTTTGAATTTTGCCTTCGGCCCCAAGTTTTGTCTTCAACATGAATTTGACATTAGGCCATACGTTTGGTCTTCAAGCACGATTTGGGTAATGACATGCCCCTAGAGTTATTCAAATACATCTATTTTGCTAACTTAACAACTACTACAAAAAAGGCAAAAGACAACGGGAATTCACCGTTGTGTATTCGGTTTTCAAACCATCGTGAAATCGACCGACATCTATTTGAGTGTCAAACCACGACGCTAAATCACCGTCGTTGTTAAAACAAACAACGTCATTAACAAATAATAACCGACGTCTTTGTAATGGAAAAAGAGATAAAAAACAGTCGAGGATGAGAATAGACGACCAATTATAACAGAAAAAACGTCGTTAAAAAGGAAACATATGACATATATTAACAGAACATGGCCGCAAGATATACATACAACAACGAAAACTAAAACTCACCGCCGTTAAATATACCTTTCACGACTTTAAATACATAATCGACGACGTTATTGACTCCTACTACGTCACTATATTTTCAACAACCGTCGTGAAATGAATTTTCCACTTCGATTTTTCTATTAATGATGATGTGGAAATAGATGAATGGGTCATTACTTACGACGCATGTATTTAAACTGACGACGTTGTACTAATAAACAACGTCGATTCCAAATAAATGTGAGCCGTATTACAGAATTTATACGTCATCTTTTAAAATATAATCGTCGTCTAACGAATCTGAGACGACAATGTTTCTCAGTCCACCGTCGTGTAAAATAGTTTTAACGACACGATCTGAAAATAAACGACGTGGAAAATATGTTGGGGTCATCACTTACGACACATTAATTTATAAAGACGACGTTGTTGTCAATATACAACGTCGTTATCATGCAAAAGACAGCCGTGTTTCATAATTTATACGTCATCATTAACAAAATTACCATCGTCTAATTCCTATTAGACGGCGTTGTTTATCCGAAATTTGCCGTGTAAAGAAATTCTAACGACATTATCATAAGAAAAGAGACGTGGATACATTCATATAACATTGTTTTTGTAAAGGAACGACGTCCAAATACCGTCGTGAATTCATCTTTTTCCACTTCGTTTATAAAAGAACATGCGAAGTGGTAAAGTTAAGACGACGTCGTCTTTTGTAATGTTCAGGCTAGATATCTCGTCTTTTATACGTTGGTATTATGGGATTGGAGTCGTGTTATTTGAAATTACATGGCGGGTCATTATGCTTCTCCGACGTGATATCCTTAATAACTGTTTCACAATAGCGTCGTGGTTCTTCTTTGTTACGTTACTTTAAGACGTCGGTAAATATATTGCGGTCGTTGAATGCTCCAAAACGTCGTTTTTTATTAGAATAGACGTTTGTTTTTCACATTTTTATCAAGACCGTCGTGTTTGTAATCTTGAACCAGTATTTTTTGTACTGATTGTTTTGTGGCCAAAACCTGTATAATGAAAGTGAAGAAATCACATTACAATATATTACAAAATTAATGTCATACACTGCCAATTACATAAGCATCATTCAATCCATATATCTTTACACCCATCTCGAATATTTTGACTCCCAAACTCACCCACTAACTCATCAAATGTGTCAACATTTGGCATCCCTCTAGTAAATGGCTCACACTCAATTCTCACATCACCTAAGACATCATCATCACCAATAACATCATTATATTCTCTATTAGGCATTGATAACACTACCGACCAACCACGATGCATCGTGTCGTCAACAAAAAATACTTGTTTGACTTGAGAAGCCAAAACAAATTGGTCATTCCTATGTCCAATTTTACTCAAATCTACAAGGGTAAATCCAAGTTCGTCGACTACAAGACCAGAAGTACTATCTATCCAATCACACCTAAAGACTGGGATTGTAAACTTTTGGTAGTCAAGGTCCCAAATTTCTTGAATGACACCATAGAAACCCATATTTGAGAGAATTGGGTTTTTATCCTTGGCACTAGCAACTTGCATGGTATGTGCAAGTAAATAAATTCCACTATTTTGAGTTGTCCGCACATCATCTTGTGCCTTGATGTTAAATTTAATACCTTTAATAAGATAGCTCCTATATGATGGCACTGCCATGTTTGGACCAGCTGCTAGCCACCTTAAATTTTCTGATACGCCATGATTGTCTTCCTCATTAAGTTCACTTTGAACCTGCAAATTAATCATATCTTAATTCAATCTAACATAGAAAGAAGAAATTAAAAGTCCAATATGTTATTCAATAACATATACCTTGAAGCGTAGCCATTGAATGAAAGTGCTATTGTGCTTATCCTGCAGCCACTTTGTTCTCTTTCTAAATTTTGGATAAGCGGTCTTGATGTGGATCATATGTTGCCTACATGACACGAAAAATTCAAGCATTACGGTCCCAAACATATAAGATAAACATAAGAAATAATTTAAAATGGAAACTTAAAGAATAAAACTCATATGTACTCGATATAAGGTAGGACTTCCTCTGTATTCTCCAAGACATATAGATGTGCTTGGTTCAACAGGTCTCGATCAACTACGCTCACTGTGCAACCTGATAATGGCTTTGAAACTCCCATCTTTTGGCTTGAAGGCACTCCAACTGTACTAACATCATATAAATGCTCGGTACAAAACTCTACAGCTTCTTCAGCTATATACCGCTCAGCAATGCAACCTTCGGGACGAGTACGATTCTGAACATACCCCTTTAACACTTTCATATATATCTTTCAAACGGATACATCCATCTAAAATATATTGGCCCACATAGACGAACTTCACTGACAAGATGTACTACTAGATGAACCATGATATCAAAGAATGAAGGGGGAAAGTACTTCTCAAGCAAACACAAAGTAACTACTACATCTTCTTCCAACTTATCTAGCTTGGAAACATCAACAGTCTTTGCACATACAACATTGAAGAAGAAGCACAAACGAGTTATTGCATACCTTACAGACTTCTCCAAAACAGAACGAATTGCCACAGGGAGCAATTGTTGCATTAAGGTATGACAATCATGTGATTTAAGGCCAAGAAGTCTTGAATCTTGTAAAGATACAAGATTTTTTATATTTGAAGAATAACTTTCAGGGACCTTCATACCATAGAAAGAATTGCAAACCTCTATCTTCTCTGCTCTTGACAAATTCCAAGGCCCGGGAGGCAAACGAGTACGTCTTTTTCCATACGCGGGTTGCAAATCAGTTTTGACCCCCATGTTCAATAAATCTAATCGAGCAGCAATCCCATCTTTATTTTTTCCAGGGATCTCTAGCAATGTACCAATGATATTATCGCAAACATTCTTCTCAATGTGCATAACATCTAGGACATGCCTCATAAGAAGGTATTTCCAATACTCGAGATCAAAGAATATCGATTTCTTTTTCCAACAAACTCTGTCACCATATTCAACCATATGCAGCACTTCTTCTCCGGTTAATGGCTCGGGAGGCGTGCCATATTCAAGTTTCCCATTAAAAGTTGCACGTTGCCTCCTATATGGATGATTGATTGGTAACCATTTTCTATGCCCAATGTAACAAATTTTGTGGCCATTTTTTAACCTGTGACTAGGTGTATTATCGCCGCATATTGGACAAACTTTATATCCTTTAACAACACAACCAGATAAGTTTCCATAAGCGGGGAAATCATTAATTGTCCACATTAATGCAGCTCTGAGTGTAAAGTATTCTCCATTATGTGCATCATACACTCCTCTAATCCCATCCCACAAAGATTTTAAATCATTAATCAAAGGCTCCAAGTAGATGTCTATATCATTTCCGGGTTGTTTAGGACCGGAAATCAATAAGGTCAACATCATGAACTTTCGTTTCATGCACAGCCATGAAGGGAGATTATATGTAACTAAGATAACTGGCTAGCAACTATATCTGCTACTTAGAGAACTGTGGGGATTGAATTCATCAGATGAAAGAGTCAATCTCAAGTTTCTTGGCTCATTACCAAACTCGGGCCATTTATCATCAAGAAGTTTCCAAGACGGGGAATCCGCTGGATGTGACATCTGACCGTTAATTGATTTTCTAGCAGCATGCCAAGTCAAACTCTTAGCTGTCTCATGTGATCGAAACATCCTTTTAAACCTTGGAATTAGAAGAAAATACCAAACCACCTTCGCTGGCACACCCCCCTTCAAGATTGAATCTTTGCCTTCCTTCCACCTTGAGATACCACAAGTAGGACAATTAGTTGAATCTTCATACTCCTTCCTATACAAGATGCAATCATTGGGGCATGCGTGCATTTTCTCATAACTCAGCCCCAATGCACACAAAGTCTTTTTTGCCTCATACATAGAGGCCGGTATTGTATTTCCTTATGGAAGCAAATCGCCTTGAAGTATAAATAATTCTGTAAAACAGACATCACTCATCCCATGTTTTGCCTTCAAATTATACAACTTCACTAATGCTGATAACTTCGTGTACTTTCTACAACCAGGGTACAATGGTTGATCTCCATCCCCAATCACATTGGCAAACTCATAAGGATCGGATCCAAAATCACCAAAATCATTATCATCCATCTCTATTTCTTCAGACACAAAACTGTACCTACTATGGTCATCATCTTCTTCAACATTTCTACTAGCATTAGTAGTTGCTTCCCAAGGTTCTCCGTGAAATGTCCAATTCTTATAGCTTCGGTCAACTCCATTAAAGTATAAGTGATCCTTTATAATTCCAACCCCAAACATCAAATTAACACATTTAACACATGGACAATGGATATGTGTTGTAGTTAGAAGATTTTCTACAGAAAAGTTCAAAAATGCTTCCACCCCTAACTCATATGCCTTCGATCTTCTATCCGAGTGCATCCATGACTTATCCATCTCCGACACTATACCCTATTATCTATAATAAAGTGAAAGACAAGCAATGACCATCACTATAGCAGATTATATAAAGTTTTAATAGTAAGTAATATACTACACAGACGACGGTTTTTAAACAAAAATAGACGTATTGGACATATATAGACGACGGTTTTTCAACAAACGTCATCTAATTATAACCACGACCGTAGTTAAAGAACACCGTCGTGTATAAGTAATACAGACGACGGTTTATGAAAAAACCGTCGTCGTATGCCTAAAAACGCGTCAATATCCCAATTTATTTTCAAGAACCCAAAACCCTATTAAGAACACAACATATACATTAATTTTTATGTTGGATATTAAGCAAGAAACCAAGCATGAAACCAACATATACTAAGCATGAAAACAATAAATCCATTCCCGATTCAACATAACAGAGAGTGATTAAAAGATCCGACAAAATTAAATCCATTCCCTATTCAACATAATAGAGAGTGATCATGAAAACATTAAACAGAAAATCCATGAACTCATACCTCCAACAACATTATTAAAAGATCGCAAAACATATATCTAAAACCTTTTAACAAAACAACCTAATATCATTCAATGAATTTACAAGGGGAAGATAAGGGTTTGTACTTACAGGTTGGTAGAGCTCACAGATTATGGCCTACTTGGATTCAACGCAGCCTGGAGAGCCCAACTTTGAATTAGAGATGAAGAGAAAGCGAAATGTTATGTTGCGCGAAATTTGAAAATTTTAGGGTTCAGGGTTACAAGTATAAGACTTAGAGCGAAATATGAAAATTTTAGGTTGCGCGAATTTTTTTTGGAAAGCGCGCTCTTTAAAAAATCGAAGGAAAAAACAACCGTCGTTAAAATTTCACTTTAAACATGACGCTTATTACATTAAAGACGTCGTGGTAAAACTATGTACGACGCCAAATCAAACAGCAGTCGTCAAAACTGAGAGAAACCATGGCGAAAGTTTTACCAAAACCGATGTAAATGCATTATTCCACAACTCAAACACTGAACTTAACTCCGTTTATTTTAAAGAAACCACATCGTCTGTTGAACCAATAGCGTCGATTGAATAACCTTTTACGTTTTTTTTTAAAATCAATGACGTTGTTATTCATGTACAACGTCATTTTAAAGGAACATAAACACCGTCGTCAAAAAAATAAACATCGACTGGAAACATAAATACCGTCATTAAAAAATAATATCCTAAACCCTAAATTAAATATTACTAAAATATAATTTTATAAAAGGGTTTATGGTTTTACAACCTAATATATAACAAACATAAACCGTAAACCCCAAAAATTATCCTTTAATCCTAAACCCTAATAAATAACAACCCTAAACCCTAAACCCTAAACCCTAAACCCTAATATAGAAATACTACTATATTAACAGAAAAGTGATAGAGTAGTTCTTATCATTTTTGTGCGGGATATAACTCATGCTCCCATACACAAATATGCCCCTAGCACAAGCTCCTCCACTCCAAAATGAAATTCTGAATGTCTTCATTGACTCTGAAAGTGTAATCATATTCAAATGAAAAGGCAACCAGGTTCTGTTGGAGCAGGATTTCTTTCAAGAAGATATACCTCCACAGCTTTCAAGAAGAAATACCTCCACAGGTTCTTGACTGAAGTCCACACGCTTCCTCGGTTGAAAAAGAACTCCGGATTGCGTTCCCAAGGACGAACGGTGGAAATGGGGTGAGTATCTGCAAAAGTCACTCTGACGCTATTTGTGCCTAATAAATCACGGTCGTCAGAAGGAATCTCTTCTCGGCTGTGGTACCTATTCATGGACTGAAACGGCCACGTTTCGTAAGACATTTAGCCTTTTCGAAAGCAGAAGAAAATGCGAAGGCGGGATCTTCTCGGCCTCACAACCACGGCATTATGGGCCGAGGCCGAGGTCCATGAAAGACCCGGCCGAAGATACTGTGGTCAAATCGCCACGTAGCCTCAGGGTCCCACGCCCCATTTAATGAAGTAGTGCCTCTGACCGCCACAGCAAAACCACTGGGTGCAAGGAGCATTTAATGCACGAGGGCAGAAGGGAAGTGATTGAAGTCAGGATTTGGTAACAGGAATCAGAGTGGTTAGGCGCAAACATTCTCACAAAGCATTCTCACAGCTTGAGGTCAGGTCACCAACCACTGGACCAGAGCATTAAATGCGTTCCCACGGCCAAGGGGGCAGAGCCCACGATCAGGGCGGTGGCCGAGATTTGCCGAGATTTATGGGGGTCACACCACCATGCTTCTCAACCCAGACCACCATGCTTCATGATCCCAAATGCCGATTTGACTACCCACTTGCCCGATTAGACTCCACCATGCAGATATTTTTAAGCCATCAGGCAGATCTTTTTTTAGCCTCGATTGGCCCTCCAGGACTCCTCCTATAAATACTAAGCTCAAGACCACGTTCAAGAGGTTCAAACACCAAACCAAAAGCCTCCCACGGAGCAACTTATATCTTCTGTAATGCACTTTCAATACCTTTACATGCTTTCCTAGGTGTAGTGGTAGATTGTAAGGAAAATCCATTCATCAATATATCATACGACCCTTGATTTTTCAAGGCGCCGGAGCATCATCCTTGTTACCACCCCATTCACCCCATATATCATACGACCGTCGCTCTCTGAGCAACGCGCCGGAGCACCGCCCAAAATCCACCAACACCACCACTAAACGGCCTTATAGCTCAGGCCGTGAACCTGACGGCCGAGATAAGTTCCTCTCTCGGCCACAATCGTTTGACTAGAAGTCCAACTCCAAACAGGCGCATCATTTGAACATCTTCTACCCAAACCCCATCACCATCTCAACGCACGGTAGACCGTGCTGGCACGCCCGCGCACAACCGCACCGCATCCAAAAGAAGGACGTCACGTGTTGACGCACATCCCCTCGGCCCGGAGCACCAGGCCGCGAGATTTGCGACGGACCAACAGACGCTCAAGTCAATGTTTATGCAACGGACTCTTAGTGTTCAATTGAATTTCTCGTACCTTTGCTGGAGGTCTAGTTGGGTTTTTATAACGCTTAGAGTTCTTGGGTTTAGCCCCACTTCCCTAGCTTTGCGCATCTCATCCTCCACTTCGCGGTAACGGGGTTAGATGACTAGGTTGTGTATCCCTCGCTCCGCACTTTTCTCGTGGGAGGGAAGTGAGTTAAGTAGGACTTTGGAATAAGATTTCTTCTAATTGAACGCATGATGTTGTGGTGGGCTCATGGCTGACCCCAAATAAACCATTCGTTTTCTTTCTTGGGCTTGCTGGTCAAGCCCAAAAATATAATTCCTATTGGATCATTATCAACCCATGCATGTTGCTTTCATATCCTACACGTGAAATATCCAAGTATGAATTTTTATGCACGTTGCTGACTTTTCAAGTTTCAACTATGGACTTTTATCCCCATGTGAAATATCCAAGTACGGATAGCCAATCCCATGCGCGAACCCTTTCTGTTTATTTTGGATTTTTGCACCTCACCCGATCCCGCATTGCTTTTGGATTTTTCTCACTCCAGCCAGTCCTAGATGGACCCCATGCAAATTTCTCTTATTTTTCCTTTGTGCTTCAGCCGATTCGGTGTGTCAGTTGGGACCGTTGTCCCTGGCGCTAATGTTGCATCGTCTATTGTTAGCACTGGGCCTGTCCTTGGATTTACGGGCTTCACCTCACCTGTTGGATTTTCCACTTGTGCTGGGCCTACCTCGGAGGCCGTTCCTAACCCATTTGATGACGCGTCCAAGGTTGTTTTGTTTTGTTCACTACTTGTTGTATTTTCTTTTCGGTTTTATCTTTGTTTTGGTGTACTCAATTAGCTTGGGTTCGTTCCCAAAATTTGGATTTCCATTTTAGAAGGTTTGTTTTAGAAAATGCAAAATCCAAATATTATGAAGTGTGCACCAGAGAAGATCCTCTTTTTGGTTTTCCATAATATAAATAGTCTGTTATATTAGTATGATGTTTCATACCCCCAACTTATCTTTTATAGTTAGTGTTCCATTTGTGTTTTGCAGGCCTGAGTCATTGGGTTCTATTGTTGGAATTGTTTTCTTGGTCCTGGGAATCTTATTCCAGTATTTCAACTTCACTGCAGATTCAAATGTAAGTTTGCTCTCTTTCATTGAATACAGGAACATAACTTTATTTCAATTTACAATTTCTGCAATTTATTGTTGCTCAGAGGTGAAACTGTTTGTTTTTGGTGAAATAACATGAGAATTCCTGTTTGTTTATTTTATTATCTATTTGCCTGCTTTTTAAATGTAGTTATTTACATAGTTAAGGGCGTTAGTGAAAAAACTGTTCCCACCAATTGAGGGGTAGGTGGTGAGTACATTTTGTTCAAACCCATTAGAGTTTACAAATGAAAGAGATGGAGAAAATTTGATGGCCTAATACTAATGTGGTGCTTAAATTTTATGGCCTAATACTAATGTGGTGCTTAAATTTGGTGGCCTAATACTAATTTGATGGCCTTATCAGATTTTTTAGATATAATGAACAAAACTATAACCCATAGCCTGTTATTTTTGCCTTTATTCTGCTTACATTAACACCTGTCATTTTCCAAATTTGTACCAGCAGAGTTAAAACCTCTGCAGATGACAACGAAGAACATAAGCCACCTCTACAGCAGAGCTAACAAGAGAGAGAACCCATTCTAACAGAGATCAAGGCAGAAAAATCCTCTTTCACCACCCAGTAGCATATATATAAAGACCTATCCAAACTCTTTTGAACAATGAGCAGCTCAATATTGTTGATATTTTGATGTTTTGACTGCTACTTGATTTATTAAAATATGGTCAGTATTTTAATCATAATAAAAAACATGTTACTATCCTTTTTTTTTTGTAACTTAGGCCCCGTTTGGGATTGCTTTTTTTCCCCAAAAACCTGCTTAACTTTAAAGTTAAGCAGTTTAAGGTGTTTGGTAAAAATAAAATATCCTGCTTATTTTAAAAGCAATGGTCTTTTGACAGCAGCTTTTAAAAGCAACATCAGGGTTGCTTTTTAAAGCTGCTTTTAATTGAAGCAGCGCGCTCCCTTTAATGAAATTTTTGCAATTCCACAAATACCCTTATTAGGTTAGAAATCTATCCTCACGTATTTCTCTCAAATCTGCAGACACCAAAGTTCATCTTCACGTAGCCTCCCAAGTTTGGAGACAACCATTCTCTCAATCTCTCTCAATCTCTTTCACAAGGTAGATTCTTCAATCTCTTCAATCTCTCAAACTTTTTATATACGTGTTGCTCTTGCTTTTTTATTTTTTTTATTTTTCTACGTGCTTTATTGTTCTACTGGTTTGTGAGGCCTCCATTGGTTGTCAATGGCTTTATTTTTCTACTGGGTTTATTTTTCTTCGTCTTCTTCTTCATACAAATATTATATGTTTATATAATCTGCATACTTGTAATATAATATTTCTTGGGAAATCTACGTGCCTGAAATCTCTGTTTTTGGGAGCAAAATTTCATACCCAAAACCCAACTGGTAGAACCTGGACCTGGTTAATGGAACCGCCGCCACAAACCAGCATCACAAATGACCCTTCCTTGGAATTCATATCTTTAGAGGCCATAGCCAATTCAATCCCAGCAATGATGGATTTTCATTTGTAGTACGTGTTTTGCTGCAAACTTTATTTTAATTCCCTTTATGATAAACAAGTTTTGCTGCAAACTTTATTTCTTTGACTTCCATTATTCTTTTGTGAATAAATATCAAAACTATAGACCCAAAACATAAGGGAAAAATATATGGGAGTGTGTTTGAATCCTTGTCATCTTGTACGACTTGTGTATTGCTTTTGATGTATGTAGTTTTGCCCAAGTTTTCCTATAGGTAATTACTTAGGCACTATGCATGTTTTTAGTAAAAACATTATTTGCTATAACATGTTCATCGCCCAATACATACATATTTATATAAGGACATGCACAGATGGTGAAGAATAATAATGTGGCTAGTGGATCACGAGTTCCGGCTGTATGGAATAATCAGAATACAACTATATTTTGTGACCTGTGTATCAAGGAGGTGGAGGCAGGTAATCGTCCTGGTACTCACTTTAAGAAAGAAGGATGGGAAAATGTGAGGATTAGCTTGAGTAAAGAGACAGGAGCCGAGTATGATAAATCACAATTGAGTTTAAGGGAGTTCCGGAAGAGATATTGAGAGATTCAAGATATATGCCCCATTTTAAGGTAAAAATTAGATACAACAATTTATCATTTGTTTTAGGAACAAAGTAATATTTATTGAAATGTTTCTCTTATTGTTTGCAGGATTGCATTGGTGCTATAGATGGCGTACATGTTAAAGCCTCAATACCTCCTGAAGATCAAGTACCATATATTGGCAGGAAAGGAATACCGACTCAAAACATAATGGCTGCATGTAATTTTGACATGCAATTCATATTTGCATGTGCAGGTTGGGAAGGCACTGCACACGATACAAGAGTATTTTTATCAGCGTTACGAAATAATGCTTTAAATTTTCCCAAACCTCCAAATGGTAATGTTTCAAATATGTGCATATCATTAAACTTCAAATTTTTGCACTTCCAAATTATATTATAATTAAACATATCTTATTGGTTACAGGAAAATATTATCTTGTGGATGCGGGTTACCCACAAATGAGTGGGTATTTGGGGCCATATAAAGGTGAAAGGTATCATCTTCCAGATTTTCGTAGGGGTACTCAACCAACAGGTTCTAGAGAAGTATTTAATCACGTACACTCTTCCCTTAGGAGTGTCATTGAACGCACTTTTGGTGTATGGAAGAAAAAGTGGAGTATTTTACGAGACATGCCTAGCTATCCATTCGATAAGCAAGTGAAGATAGTAATTGCAACTATGGCACTTCACAACTATATAAGGAGGCATGCCCAACGTGATATTCATTTTGACAAAGTGAATGACAACCCAAATGCAATGGAGATGGAGGGTGATGCACAAGAAGAATATCATATTACTCAAGGGCCTGGAGCACAAGAACTAGAAACATTAAGGAACAAGATTGCTACAGGTTTAATGCATGCATCTTCTTAGACATTTTCTTTATTTCCATTTATTTAAGCCTAGTTTCAATTTGTTTTTATTGCTACAATTCAAACCTTAAAAAAATGTTTATTACTTATTCAATATCAAGGATGGTGTATGAACCTACTACCGTGGTGATCTCTTTATCTTTGTTGGAATTTATTCAAATCATAATTATGTTTGTTGGAGTTTATTCAATTTGAATTTTTCTTTTCTTTAAGCAAAGATTAATATAATTTTTAGGGAGAAAAGTATAAAAGCACTTTACAGTTTTATTTTTTACCAAACAGATTAGTAAAAAGCACTTTCAGCATCATGTCCATTTTAGTAATTATAAATAGTTACAGCACTTTTACGGTAAAATTTACCAAACGCTCTAACACTGCTTTTCATACTCACAGCACTTTTAAAATTACAGTTTACCAAACGTTTAACTGCTTTACTTTACAGCTGATTCTTTTTAAAGCACAGCAGAAGCAGATTTTTTTAAAGCGGCAGCAATCCCAAACTAGGCCTTAGACTTGCTAAACAAAGCATGATGCCACTATTTAGATCTCTATGACTATATAAATAGTACCATCTTTCCTACACATTTCACAACTTCGTACACATTTCACACAGTTTTAAAACCCGCAAAATCGCGCGGGCACCATTGCTAGTGACATTAAAACATCAAATGATGCACTGATTTTAAATGACGGTTGATGTCCGTGAAATGAGGAAAAAAAAAAAATGATATGTTTGTTCTAACTATGTATAAACCATCTTCCAATCCCACAGTGTAGCATCCATTATCTATGTAATACCCTATTTAATGAAGTTCGTATGGCAGGTCTGGGTTTCTAATCCTGTTTCTCAGAGTACACACACCAAGACGACTTGAAACTGTCATTTTCAACATTTTATTGTAAAATGGGTTCAAAAAAACTTACATATGAAAAAAGACAGCATGACAAGAAAAGGAAAAATTTTACAGTGCCATGAGCTTTTATGGCTGAAGAAAAAGAAAAAACAGAGTTACTCTTGTTCGATGTTTTGTACCATACACAATCCAACCTCAAGTAAACCCCACTACTTTTTTACACAGATACCATGAATCCATAATATCAAACATAAAATTGAAACAGAGAAAGCACACACACCAGAAACGGTCTCCATTTTTGTCATGGTGAACTTCATGGGATACAAGTTCAACAGCCACATCAACAATTAGTCTTTCAGCTCCACCTACACATCAAATTCATAAATACAGCTTAAACACAAAACAACTTCTTTACAACCTTCAACAACAATAGAAAGAAAAAGAAGTAGAAATTACCTATGCCCAGAAAATAATAGCAACGTTCAACTTTCAGCTTCCTTCCTTCGCCATTTTCAGCTCTCCAATTCTCTGCATTCTAATTCAAAGTCTCAAAAGATAAACTTTTTCTGCTAATTGGCCAAAACTGGGTCGGTTCTGGCCCAACATTTGTAATATAACGTATTGGGTTCTGGACGAGTTCGATATGATCCGACCCATTTCAGTTTCGGACCAAAAACAGGTCGTGATCTTTCTCAGTTCTCAACTTCTCGCACAGAAAAATCTGAAGAAGAGAAGAGAAGAGAAATTAGTGGAGAAGAATTAGCGGGCCCCCCAGCCCCAAAGCTCCTTCGTCTGCTTTATTTTGTCGGCGCTGGCTGTAAGTCATGAATTTTCATTTCAATTTTAACTCTTTGGTTTTTGAGAGAGAGAGAAAGTCTTCTTCTTCTTCGTTTTTAAATGTTTCGCTGATTTTAAATATCCATGTTGTTATAAGCTGTATAGGATGTGTCATGACAACTTTATGAACCGAACATATATCCTTTAAATTTGAGTCCAGTTACTTAGAAATGAAGAAGAAGAAAAAAAAACGGGTAAAGCAAATTGAAAATGCAAAATAAAAAGTACAATATTAACAATATATATCTAACCTCTAAGCCTTCTTTTCATCCTGTTGAGGGGGACTATTATCATCACATGGAGGAGCATATCTTGTAGATTGTCTATGAATCGAAAATACGCATATCTCCATGTTTTGTTAATAACTAAAGAACCACAAACTCCCCAAAATCCAACTATGAATCCCGACGCTGCAAAGATATAAAACCATGGAATCACATTTTCCACGTCTTTATTGTTCTTGTTATCTACATCCATGTCCTTATTTGGTCCGCACTTATTTGGAAGTGGGGCATCACAAAGTTTTGGGTTCCCCTCAAACGCAGAAGCTTCGAAGCTTTGGAGCTGGGTGCCCGTTGGTATCGATCCTTCGAGGTTATTATATGAGACATTAAATTTTTTTAAGAAATTAAGGCTCGCCAATGACGATGGGATCATTCCAGACAAGTGATTCATGGAGAGGTCCAAAATCTCTAAATTTTTTAGGTTAGATATTTGGTATGGAATGACACCAGAAAAGGTGTTGGAGTCAAGAAAAAGCCGGCTAAGAAGATGTAATTGGCCGATCTCAGCAGGTATATAACCACTAATGTTATTGTTAGATAAGTGTATCATTGCTGGAACAGAAGACATTTTTTGTTGTAGAACAGTTTGCTTTGAGAATATGCCGAAGCTGCTGCTGCTGAAGACAGGCAATTCAAATTCATAACTAGTGTCGTCTAACTGAGATGAAATATTAGGTTCATATACCAACCTTGGTAATCTACAAAGTTGCTTTGGAAATTCACCTGAAAATTGGTTCCCTGACAAGTGGATATGAAACAATCTAGGCATAGTCCCCAACCAACTTGGAATTGGCCCTGTGATTTGATTAAAATCCAATAGCAAGATCTCTAGATTCTTGAGCTTTGATAACCATACAGGCATTTGACCAGTGAGGTTAGAATTATACAAACTCAATAACCGAAGATTTTGGAATCCGTCAAAATCAACCATGTCATCATCAGATGGCATTCCCTCACCTTTAAAGGCACCACCAAGCGTGAGTACGTGAAGACTTTTGCAACTCATTAATATCTTCATTGCCCTTGTGAGGTTGGTGAATTGGTTGTGACCAAGGCTGAGGAAGGACAATGATTTCAATGAAAGAATCTCGGCTTCTATTTGTCCCTCTAGATGATTTCTAGTCAATCCAATGGCTTTTAACGACCGACATGAGTAAAGGCTTACAGGAACCGTACCAGTGAAGTTATTCATCCTAACGTCAAGTTTAGTGAGTTGACTCAGTCTGGAGAAATCAAGAATGGAGATATCTCCTTCCAAGTTGTTGTTCGCCAAATGCAGTTCTACAAGGTTTGTGCAATTTATCAAAGACTGGGGCAAAGAACCTTCTAAATTGTTGAAATCAAGGGTCGCCAATTTCAACTTGGAGAGCTTCCCCAAATTGTGAGGAAGCTCGCCATTCAATTGATTAAAGTAGAGGTCAAGGATTGCAAGGTTAGTGAGGTTGACAATTCTATCACTAATGGCTCCATGTAGTGAATTGAGAGGTAATGCAATTTCTTCAAGTTTGGTAGCATTATAGATATCTTTTGGAAATAATCCCGAGAGGTTATTGTGACCGGCACGAAAAATCTGCAGTTTGGAACACTTTCCTAGCCCAGGAGCAAGGTTGCCACTGAATACATTGGAAGAAAAATCCAATAGCGTAAGGGAGGGAGAAGAATGAAGACAAATAGAGGACGGGACATACCCTGTGAAGGTATTGTTGCTGACATTGAAACTAGTCAAATTGCTTGCTTGTTGGAAGAATGAAGATGGAATTGCACCAAAGAAGTGATTGCTGGACAAATCAACTACCCGTATATTAATAGATGGTAGAGAAAGTGGGAGTTCTCCGAAAAGACGGTTATAGCTCAAATCAAGGATCTCAAGTTGATTCAAAGACAAGAAGAACTGAGTTTCAAGTGAACCATATAGTGAATTGTGGGAAAGGTTCAAGTGGGTGAGATGGGTGAGATTTGCAAGTGAAAAGGGAGTGATACCTCCTTTGAGCCCTTTGGAAGGTAAGAGCAAACGGGTGACCCAACCATCTTGATCGCAAATGATGCCCTTCCAATGACAGCAATCAAAGGATGTCCAATTTAAAGGAGGAGAAGATAGAGTGGAGGCAAAGGACAGGAGGGAGCTGCGTTCAGTTTGTTTGCAGGCATGAATATTTGTAGATATAATGCAAGAGAATAAGAGGAAGAGAAGGAAGGCATGAGCCATTCGGTTATAAGCTTGCACTAGCATGTTGCTTTGTGTATGTACCGTTGCTCACATGTATTTATATATACAAGAACAACCATGCTTGAAAACGATGCAAACCACCACCACACAATGCAAATTGAGAAGTCGGGAAACAACCTCCATTGAATGCAAATTATTGATATTGAAACCTTTGGGCCACCAGAACAGGACTTGGCCTTCACGAAGTACTCAAAAGTTTTTGACTATTTCCTTTTATTTTTAAGTCAGCTGATAACTGATACCAGCTCATCTTCCATGTTAATCACTCAAAGTCCAAGTTCAAAGTTGTTAACCAGAAATTATATCATTCGCTTTCAAGCACAAGAAATATCTGATTCCCCTTGCCAATATCCATGCTGGTTACTTTATGACAGTCGAGTTAAATTGCAAACGTCTTACAACTTGTTTATTGCAGAGTTGTTATAAGCTGATAGGATGTGTCATGATTTTTTTTTAACAGTAATAAAAAATCTCACGAATGTATTTAAAGCATTTCAGATTTGGATGCAAAAGTTTGACATGTGCTTTCCCTCATTGGTTAATGCGTTTTCAGATTTGGATGCAAACGTTTGACGTGTGCTTTCCCTCATTGGTGTTCTTTCATTATGATGACAATTTTTCATGGAATTTGGAAGATATATGGTGTGATTTTTCTTGCTAGATATAGATATAGCCTGAGAGTGACAGTGCCAGTCAAGCCTGATCCAACATTATACATTGACGACCTATTCATGTTCAAAGTTGTTTTATTCTTCTAAGAAAATTCAAAATTGGAGGATACTCATTTTTTCCAAGTCTGTTGCCCCACAACTTAATAACTACTTGCTAAATATATTGATAGCAATAAAATGAGCCCCAACCAGAACCAAAGATGGAGAGGGTGGATGTGGACCCCACCACCTTGTTCTGTTTATTTTGTCAATTTCTCCCACCAAAGGCATAAAATTCCATGATCTGTAGTGACCGTATGGTATACATAAGATGTTTTGTGCCTATCTTCTTGTACTGTCCAATCTTCCAAAAACCTGTTTTTAATTATATTGGAACTTTGAGAAGATTTTGGCCCCAAGTTTTTTGTAAGTTTGTAACACTTTCTTTTGTTTTATAGGGATTGGGAGCTGATAGATTCATGAATTTTATCTTTCTTTTTGTTTTTTGTTCTTTTGTTTTATATATACAAGCGTTATTGGAGAGGGTTTTTCTCACATATACATACTGTCAAGGTGATATGGAAGTTCGAAATTAAGACAACTGATTTACAAATCAAGGCCATTTTCCATTAGACTAGACTCTATTGGCTTCATGAATTGTATTTTTGACTATATTATAAGGGACCGAAAATTTGATAAGAAGGCAGTAGTCTTTGGTGATCAAACATGATTAGGAACATCAATACTTTGTTACCTCCGTGATTAGTAACAAACTAATGTTTTTGTTTCCAAACTCATTAATTACAAATATTGTTTGAATACAATATCCATCGAAAGTAAGTAATCAGTTATCAATAACCACTTGCATCTAATTTTTTGATTTTCTTATAGTTAGCTTGAAGGCGATGCAGTTATAAAGGATTCTGAAAGGAAGAATGCGCGAAGACTTGTGCAACACATTAGTATTTTCATTTAATTTTCTTATTTATTTAATAATGGTTTGGGAAAGACAGATTGCAATTCGCCTACTCAAACTCAAATCATGCGAGTTTGGTGACAATGAGCGTATGGCTCTGATTTTGACACGTTCCCTCTCAGAAACAGAAAAACATTCTTCCACTTTTACCCTTCTTCTTTTCCTCATATACACAATTACAATGTGTGAGGAGGACAGTTGACACGATGAGTCTTCTTGTAATTAAGCTCTCCAAGTGGATTACAGTATACGTTACGTTCCCTCTGAGGTATGAATTATATAGTTGCCAAATTGGCTTTTTCTACTGTCCATGTATTCGCTTCATCGCATTCACAGATGAACGGCGTTGGCTAATCCTTCCTTTTATGGATAGCCTCCGAGTCCATGTATTTACATATATATAAGAGCAATGATGCTTGAAAAGGATGCAAACATCAGTACAAATTGAGAAGTCGGCAAACAACAACCACAATGCAAATTCTGTGGTTGAAGAGATATTCCCACTAATGAAACCAGAAAGAAGACCTCATTGGGTCTTAAGAGATATTCCCACTAATGCCACCAGGAGTGATCTTGACCTACGGATGTAGTTAATCCGTCTTCAGATTTGGATGCAAATTGAGAAGAGTCGGCAAACAACAACCACAGAATGCAAATTATTGATATTGAAACCTTTGGACCACCAGAAAATTTGACCTATTCCAATCCTAAACAATTTTCTCCATCTTCGCTTACCACTTGGTCAATCCCGGACATTAAGAAGGCAGTAGTCTTTGGTGATCAAACATTGTTGACGCAGAAAAATGGTTCGGCACTTTCCCGCGCAACTTAGTGATTAAGTCTCTTCGGTATCTAATGTCCTCGGCAGTGTGTCCGATCTGTAAGATAGCAAACACACGGTAAGTCCTAGGGCACCGGTGTGGTACCGGCCAAAGGCTCTCCGATGCTTAAGTAAGTACGGATTTAGTAAAGTTGAACTACAGATCAGTAGGCAGTATGCCGTGAGTTCTGATTGATTACCTTCAAGCTGGGATGGTGGTCCTCTTTTATAGGCCTTGGGAGGTGTGCAATTTGTTTAGAGTTTCGATGTGGGACTCTGGACATCAGTTGTGGGACTGCCACGTGTCGAAGGGGGCGAGGTTGCCCTAATATTGCGATCGGTGGGTTTGGTACCGAAGGTGGGTGCCGAAGGCACCCATGGCCCTGGTTTAGCCCACGTGTCCGATATTCATTGGCTGTTCATTTCGGTATAAACAGGAGTCCCCCAAGTCCCCTTGCGAGAGTTCTCGAAAGGGGATTTGAAGTTGTCTTTGGAAGGAATTGTGGCCCTACCGTTCGGTAGTCCAACTGGGGGAAGGGGCTAAACTTTGTCCCTTCCGGCATTATTTGTTCAGAGGCTTACGTTGGCGAAGTCAGGAGGTCGCATCGAGCGGACGGGTGAAGGGACGTCTGAGCGCTTCGACTTCCGCGCTTCGCGTGCCGTCTGTTCCCCACAAGATGAGCGACACGTGGCGAAAGTAATGATGGCGCGCGGCGCATTAATGTGCCGTTTGGCTTTTCGAGGTATGCCGTTTCGCGCGCTCGCCCTATAAATAGGGGCGACTCCGGGGGCGAAATCACTTTGGACTTGGTGAGCAAACGAGAGCTCTGTTGAGGCGATTTCCGACGAGTGCTTCCGGTATTCCAGGCGATTTCCGACAAGAGCTAATGGCAACCAGGCGATTTTCGGTACTACCAACGGTAGGAAGGGCGATTCGTGTCCAGGCGGTCTGAAGCACAGTCCGCGTCCATTTCCAGAAGTTGAACTAAGGTACCGTTCGGTAGCCCTACTTTTCCCTCTTTACATACCTTAAGAGTTTACGTCCTTCCTTGGTTTGAACTAAGGGTTCCATTCGGTAGTCTAGTCGCCATAGGTAGTGATGTAGGGATCAGTAGGATAGTATCCGGCATGAACCTTAGTTTCCTTTCTTCCCTGTTTTTGTAGATGTCCGATAGCGAGTCTTTCTCCGAGCGTGAGCCCAACGCGTTCGATGAGGAGTCATCGGAAAGTCTCTTTGACTCCGATGTTGAAGCGGCAGGGCCTGATGCCGAGGAGGGAAGTGATACCGATGTCGAGATACTCGGTGAAAGGCCCAGCTCCGTCCCCATTCATGGCATCGGAAAGGGGCTTATGACCGCTCCGGTACCGTTGTCTATTGTCTATAGCGACGGTCGCCATGTGGGGCTTGGCGCCCCTGGGGAGGCGAGCGGTAGTCACCAACCAGAGGCCTCCACTTCCGGCCGTGGTGAGTCAGCTGTCGAACCGTCCAACCGACCGAGGGTCTCGGTAGTTTACCCCAGCAATCCTAGGGTGCCGATGGGGGTTCCGAAGGAGCTCGTCTTCGGTGTAGATTATCTGGAGCCCAACAGGATTACCGAGAGGGAGATTGCGAGGTTTCGGGCTGAATACTTCATACCAGATTCGGTAGGCATGAGGATCCCAAATCCTACCGAATCTCTAAGTAGTCCGAAGGACGGCGAAGTCGTCTTTTTCACGGACGTGCTTCTATAAGGGGTGAGGCTCCCTCTGCAGCCCGCCATTCAGAGGATCCTGGCGCAGATAAGCTACACTCCCGGCCAGTTCAATCCCAAATTCTGGGTGGCTCTAATGGGGGTAGTCACAGCCTTCGGCATGGCTGGCGAGGGAGAACCCTCGTACGAGCAGTTCTCCCACCTGTACAGCATCACGAAGTCGAAGTGTGCCGATCAAGGGGGCTGGGTCCAGGCTAATTGCCTGAGGGCTACCGAGCGTGGTCACTTTATCAACGCTGTGCCAACCTCCCAGAAGACGTGGGGGAAACGGCGGGTGCTTTTGTCCGGTGACTGGGAGTCGCCCTCGGGACATCCCGTCCGTTTCCACATTCCCACCACATTCCAAATCGCTGGTAGGCTATCCTACCGTTCGGTTGGGCATCTAGATATTGTTTTCCTTCAGTAATGTTAATTCCGTTTTACCTTTGTGCAGGCAAGCTGAAGCAGCCGAGCGCTACACAGGCGGAGATCCGGCAGATTGAAAGGGTGAGGCTGAAAGTCCCTGCCGTGGAGAGGGTGTATCCGAAGTTTCTCTTCACCACCAATCTCATCAAAGCTCAACTCGTCAACCCTGCCGAGAGTAAGCATACTTGACCATTTTGATAGTTTATGATGTATATGGGATATCTGACCGATTCCTTCTCGCAGTGACCGAAGAGAGGAAGGCTGCCGAGGCAAAGAGGATGAACGAATCCTCGAAGAGGCGCGTCATGCTCGACATGCAAGGGAAGAAGAAGGGGCGGCAGGCCGGAACGGCACCGGCTTCTTCGGGAGGAGTGGACCCCGATGATCTAACCCTCAACGAGCGTCGTCGCCAGATGAACGCGGAATCGGCGCGCGCCAAAGCTGCCGATGCTGGTTCGTCCCCCAGCCGAAGCATGCCTACCGAGGGTACCTCCTCCAAGGCCGCAGGCAAAAGACCGTTCACGGTGGACCTTGATGCCGACCCTGCTCCAAGCCTGCTCGGGCCATCTTCTCTGCCGAGGACGACGAGGCGCCTATCGAAGCTGTCACCCTGGCCTGTCCTTCGAAGACGGTACAGTTTGTGAACCACATGATCCTCGGTTCACAAATGGAGCTGTCCGAGATCGAGGACCTGCCGAAGAAGCTCCTTCGGGAGGAGGCTGGCCGCGCCTTCCGTCTCCAAGCTTCGGTAAGTGCCTACTGTTTTTAGCGATTTCCTGCCGTTCGTTTCTCTTTCCATCTAACGTTTTTCTTTGCCGTTCAGGCCTCAATGGGCATGTGGCTCTGCGTCAAGTGAGCCATTAATGCCGCCGAAAAGGCGAAGAAGGCATATGAAGACGGCAGAGCGAAGGTTGCCGAAGCTGGCAAAGCGATCCAAGCTCAGGCGAACTTGGCTAAGGACATGCAGGCTGCCGAACGGCAAGTAAAAGTTTATCAAGCCAAGCTCGGCGAGATGTCGGCAGCCTTAGAGGCGGCGCAGCTGACGGCAAAGGAGGCTCTGGAGTCGAAGGAGGCGGTCCAGGTGGCCTTTGAGGAGTCCAAGATCGAGGCTGCCGTTCAGGAGGCGATACGGGGCTACCATCGGTCTACGGAGTTTTCTACCTTGCTGGACAAGGAGGTAGGCATGGAAATGGCGGACCTACTCTACCGTTTCAAGCGGTACAACCCTGGGAAAAAGCTCAACCTCAACTTCATTGCCGATCCTCCCCCTCTTTCTGAAGGCATAACCGAAGAAATGGTCGAGGAGTACGAGGGGGAGAATATGACAGAGGAGGTCCCAGCCGATCCCGAAGGGGTGCTGCCGAAGCTGATGGGGTTGCCGCCGAAGCCGATGAGGGCATTTTTTGTACACTTTTTAATGTAATTTTGATGCCGTGGGCACCTTTTGACTGAACCTTTCATGCCGTGGGCATATTTTAATTGAAGTCGTGTTTTAATTTTAACATCATTGCATCTTACTTTTGAATCGGTATGATTTTTTTTTTCTTTTTAATGCCGAGGGCTCTCAAAAAAGGGGCACCAGCCGTTGGCCAATAAAGTTACCTTTCGAGCAAAAGTTCAAACAGTAGAGAGATGAGACCAAAAGACGCACTTGCCGAAGGCTAAGCAACGGCCTTTAAGTACCGAAAGCTAATGAAAGCTGGAACTGTTGTCCAATGGATAACCAAGTTGTCCCTTAATCGGTAGGATAATGGCGATGCCAAAATGCGTAGTTTACTGCGACCGATGGTCCCTACCGTATCTTTTTTTTTTTTAACACAAAACAAAAAATGAAGAGAGTTTAAAGGGTACAACAAAGGTTCTGAATGTATGAGCCGAAGGCCCTTTCATTGATAAACTGCCGAAGGCAAAGGTACAATTCGGAGTGCGTTTTACAATTTAGAACCCGTCGTTGGCTAGGGAACGCTACAATGCCGTAGGCTGTGTTCGTAGAGAAGCCAAAGGCTTTTGGGACTCCTCCGCAACCCTGCCGTAGGCTAGGTGACTTCATTTGAAATAGTACTTCAAATGCTCTACATTCCAAGGATGACCGAGGGTTTTTCCGTTGGAGTCTCTGAGTCGATAAGTCCCTGATCGCTGGATACCGATGATTTCGTATGGTCCCTCCCAGGAAGGTCCAAGGGTTCCTTCCGTGGGATTCTTGGTTGCCAAAGAGACTTTCCGCATGACCCAATCTCCGATTCGGAAAGAGCGGGATCTGACCCTGGAGTCATAGTACCGAGAGACGCGTTGCTTGTAAGCTTCGTTCCGAAGGTCGGCTTGTGCTCGGCGTTCTTCGAGCAGGTCGAGGCTCAAAGCAAGCGCTTCCTCATTCGCTTTCGGTGTGAAGGTTTCCGTTCGGTAAGAAGGCTCTCCGATTTCTACTGGGATTACCGCCTCTGAACCGAAAGCCATGGAGAATGGTGTTTCCCCAGTTGCCGTTCGGTAGGATGTCCGGATGGCCCATAACGCTTCTGGAAGCTTTTCCGGCCAGGCTCCTTTGGCTTTGTCAAGCTGCCATTTCAATAGCTTCTTGACGATTTTATTCATGGCTTCGACCTGTCCATTCGATTGGGGGTGTGCTGGCGAAGCAAAGAACATGTTGATTTTGAGTCGGGTGCAGAATTCTCTGAAGACCTCCGAATCAAACTGTCTGCCGTTATCCGTGATGATGGCGTAGGGGATGCAGAATCGGCAACAAATGTTCGTCCAGACGAAATCTTCGACTCTGGCTGCCGTTATTGTCGCTAGGGCCTTGGCTTTTACCCATTTGGTGAAGTAGTCTACAGCAACAACGGCATATTTGACCTGACCCTTGCCCTCTGGCATTGGACCGATTAGATCTAATCCCCATTGGGCGAACGGCCACGGGCTCACGATCGGTGACAGCGGCTCGGCAGGAATATGAGGGACACTACCGAACCGTTGGCATTTGTCACACTTCCTGACTAATGTGTTCGCATCTTGGTGCAGAGTCGGCCAGAAATACCCCTGTCGGAAGACCTTGTGTGCGAGCGATCGGGATCCAGAGTGGTCACCGCAGATTCCACTGTGGACCTCCCGAAGGATGTAGTCCCCCTGCTCCTTGGTCAGGCATTTTAGATACGGCGTCGTATAGCCTCACTTGTACAGAACATCGTTGATGACTGTGTATCTTGCCGATCGGTAACAGAGTTTCCGAGCTTGGGACTTATCGGTAGGAAGGGTTCCGGTTGTCAGGAAGGCATAGATTGGAGACATCCATGTGTCTTCGTACCGAACGGTACACACCTCAGCGGCTGTTGTGCTTGGTAGGGATAATATCTCCACCGGTACCTTCCTCCCGATCTTGTCATTTATTGCCGAAGCCAATCGTGAGAGCGCATCGGCGTGGCTGTTTTCTGACCTGGGAATCTACCGTATCTCGTAGGCCTGGAATTTTTGTAGTAGTTGGTGAGCTGTCGATAGGTAGGCTGACATAAAGGCATCCTTCGCTGCGAAGTCTGCTGTTATCTGATTCACTATGAGCTGGGAGTCACTGTGAATGCTCATCTCCAGAAAAACTGAGTAGAGGCGTGATTTGCCGATTGACCATGCTGTCGGCAATCCCCAGTCCCTTGAACGCATCGGCAAAATCACGTTCACCGAGGTTCCGGTGTCAATCAGCACCCGACCCACATCGTAATCGGCGATCTCAGCCCGAATGATCATTGGGTCATCGTGGGGGTAGATGATCCCCTCCTCCTACTCTTCACAAAATGTGATGGGCTCCCATCTCACCTTCGGCACCTTTCGGCACCGATCGTCTTCTATGCCGAAGACTTGAGGGCAGTGGGCGGCACGCACATACTGCTTCACCGAACGGTTAGAGGGTCCCGCCAAAGTGGGACCGCCGCTGATCATGTTGATTTGTCGATTCGCGTTCGGTGTCGGGGCCTGTGGTGGCCTGGCGAGGTACTGATCCAACTTTCCCTCCCGAATCAGACGCTCGACAATTTTCCTCAGACTGATGCAGTCCTCGGTGTTGTGGCTGTTCTGCTGGTGGTATCGGCAGAATTTGCTTGTGTCTCGATTATCCTGCCGATTGGGTTTTCGGTTGGTTGGCTTCGGAATCTGGTCATGCACGTTCATCAGAACGGTTTTCGTACGTTGTGTTCAGCAGGGTGAAGACTTCCTGGGCACGATCGTGATTCGGTAGCGGCGCCCGGTGGTCGTTACGACCGTATTTCCCGCGCCCTTTCTTTGAGTTTCCCTGACGGCTATCACGGTCGTCCTTCCGTTTGTGTCCTGCCGAAGAATCGTCAGTTCGCCCCGGATAACTTTTGGTGGCTGACTCCTCCTTCCGAGCCGAAGGCCCGGGTTTGGAATTGAAGTATTCGGCCTTCGCATGGACTGCCGCCTGCTTCATTAACTCGTCGTACGTGCGCCAGTTGCTACTGTGCACGAGATACCGGAAGTGAGAGGACCGAAGGCCACTCTTGAAGGCGCCGTAGGCTGCCCTATCGTCCGTTTCAGGACACCTCGAGTACTCGTGACTGAAGCGCGCTGCGTATTCCCGTAAGGGTTCGTCCTCCCTCTGTCGAATCGTGTACAGATCATCGACAGAGTACAAACGATCCATCTGGATCATGAAGTGGTTGAGGAAAATCTTCTTCAGTTCGTCAAAGGAGTCTACCGTTCCCGGCTCGAGACGGTAGAACCAGTTCAAAGCAGCTTCTGTAAGGGACGATGGAAACAGCAGACATTACCCCTCGTCGCTGAGGCCCTTGCACCCAACTGCCGATTGGAAAGAGTGAAGGTGCGTCAAAGGGTCCTCCACACCGGTGTAAAAGGGTATATGCAACCGCTGCACCTCCCTGTCCGGTCTGGACTTCTTGATGTGCTCGGTAAATGGTCCCGGTCGAAGTTTTCCCCAGTCAGGGACCTGAGACCGGGTTCGGTCATCCTCCATCTTCTGGATTCTCTGGAAAAGTAGGCGGATAGCGGGGTCTCGGCTCGGGACGTCCTCGGAACTGAAGTCTTCGGAAGCTGTCCTCGGACTTGGTGGTCTTGCTTTTGAGTACTCCGGGGGAGCTTCCGAACGGTAACTTGATTCGGTGCCCCCGGTGGGGATGTACTCATCATCGGATTCCAGCGCTGAATCCAAACCCTGAACCCTCCGAAGGGGCGATTTATTTCCCAGGACCCTCATCCGGGAGTCCCTCAGGCGGGCGTTAACTCCGATTGGGGACCTATGCCATTCGGCATCCTTCTTGTCGTTGATCCGATGACGACAATCGGTGTACACTTTCTTCGGTACGTGAGGTTGGTCCTGGGGAGCCGGGACCACCAGCTGTTTGGAGGGCGCAGGCGTTGCCTTTGCCCCCTGCTTTCCCTTCCTCTGCCGACCGGGGGTCTGCTGACTCTGGGAAGATTCGGTTGTCTGAATGTTTTGTGTTTCCTGCTGATTAAGCAACCGTTGGGTTTCGTTTACCTTGGACGAAAGGAGATTATTACGTTCTTGAAGTTTAGCCATCTCCCTCCGAAGGGAGGTCATCTGAGCTAGAAGCTCTGCTTCGACCGTGGTCTGAAGCGCAAGAGGATTATCGAAGGGGGTGCTAGGGTGCAGCGCAGGGCTTGCTCCACTTGGGATACCGTACGGTAATCCGTCCTCTGATAAGAACTGTGGTCCTGAAGTGGTTCCCATATATTTTGTTTTAGGAATTGCAGGTTGATTGTTATCGTTTCCCACAGACGGCGCCAAACTGTTGACGCAGAAAAATGGTTCGGCACTTTCCCTCTCAACTTAGTGATTAAGTTTCTTCGGTATCTAATGTCCTCGGCAGTGTGTCCAATCTGTAAGATAGCAAACACACGGTAAGTCCTAGGGCACCGGTGTGGTACCGGCCGAAGGCTCTCCGATGCTTAAGTAAGTACGGATTTAGTAAAGTTGAACTACAGATCAGTAGGCAGTATGCTGTGAGTTCTGATTGATTACCTTCAAGCTGGGATGGTGGTCCTCTTTTATAGGCCTTGGGAGGTGTGCAATTTGTTTAGAGTTTCGATGTGGGACTCTGGACATCAGTTGTGGGACTGCCACGTGTCGAAGGGGGCGAGGTTGCCCTAATATTGCGATCGGTGGGTTTGGTACCGAAGGTGGGTGCCGAAGGCACCCATGGCCCTGGTTTAGCCCACGTGTCCGTTATTCATTGGCTGTTCATTTCGGTATAAACAAACATGATTAGGAACATCAATACTTTGTTACCTCCGTGATTAGTAACAAACTAATGTTTTTGTTTCCAAACTCGTTAATTACAAATATTGTTTGAATACAATATCCATCGAAAGTAAGTAATCAGTTATCAATAACCACTTGCATCTAATTTTTTGATTTTCTTATAGTTAGTATGCTGGGGAACAAAGGGCCATAATTAATTAAACGTAGAACTGTTGGATTTGTTTAATTCATGAGAGTTCACCAAGGAATTTCATTTGGTGTGGTGAATTACTTTTCCCTCATTGAATGACATTACCGAAAGTTCAATATTCTTTTGCTCTTATATTTTATGTCACTGGTGATATCAAAATACAATTAATATAAATGAGGCAGTTTGTAGAGGACAGGCATAAATCTTTTTCATGTGTAAATCCTTTTTGGTGAGGTTGCGTGGGATTCAAGGTCGGCGATGATCCACATAAAAATGAGGACATGTGAGTTTGGTATGAATTATATATAGTTGCCAAATTGGCTTTTTCTACCGTCCATGTATTCGCTTCATCGCATTCACAGATGAACGGCATTGGCTAATCCTTCTTTTCCTACTTGTTGCTCACGGAAAATACATCATCACATCCTGTGTCGTTTTTGTCATTTATATGAATATACTGTAAGAACATTCCCGCTCACTTAAGGATATAAAAATGAGGATATATGAGCTTCTTAAATTTTTAATAATGGTTATTGAATTAATCCAATGATAAATGGTAACCGATACTTCAAACCCTCACTCATGATCCATATGTTACTAAAATAAACTTTAATTATTTTGACCGACAAAATAAAAATGGGCTTTCGTCTGTTTGGCAAAAATTAATGTATCCATGTATATATTGTTTTCTTTGTGAACTGGGGTTGGGAGGGCAATGCACCCCAGAAGCAACTACACAGAATTAGAAATACAAATCAAACAGGCTTTAGAGACCTGACCCAACTAAGAGATCCTCAAAATAGCAGAGGCCTTAGTCCAAATCATAACTCCAGTTAGCTAATTAGCCCCACACTATCATTTCCCAGGAAAAATAAGTAGAATCAGGAAGTACCCACCGGACTCTAGGCAATTCTGGAATAATTTGATATAAATAAAAAAAAGAAGCAAAAGCCCAAGCAATAATTTGATGCAGAAGTACCCTTGATTTTGTACGAAGTCTCTTCAGATACAAGTGCCCCAAATGCATAATAGCACCTAGTTGTAATTGAGTAGATCTTCATCCTTGCTTCTTCCTCACTGTAGTTGAGACACAAACAAATGCATCAATCAATTAATACAAGCAATGTGAACTACTTTAGAGAGTGATCATATCTTTTATACTATAGTTGATTGGATATTGCATATTAGGCGTTATCTGGGTTCAACATGTTTGGACCGTTGGATCGACTCCAATTTAATATATGTTGATCTAGACATTCCTAGGATCGTATAGGATTTCGCAGATCGTGAATCGGAGCCCCGGATGTTCTGATTCAATAACTTAAAGTTTGCGTTAAACGATAACCGTCCGATCGTACGATCGCGAGCAATCTAACCGTTCAATCCGGACCAAAATTGTAGGACGTGTATTCTAAACCTTGTGGAACTCATAGGAACTTCCAGATCAGAAATCAAGGGTCGTGGACCCCGTGGGCCCAGTTGACCCAATTTGAAAAGTTTGACTACCCGGTTGACCGAGCGTCTTCCGATGCTATCTCTTCATTCGAAACACATAGTTAGACTTTAGGAATGTCTCATTCCTCCTACTTTACATGAAACCCGGGAAACTAGGATTTTAATTTAAAGTTTCTTTTTGATGCATTTTGTATTAATTTCGTATCCGTTTTCTGAAATAGGTGCTCTGGCTACTCGCACGCAACAGGCAGGACCCTCTTAGGATCAAGCAACGTGGGACTACTTTTGATTGGACTTTGGTTTTAAAAACTACGCATGGTTTTTTTTATGGAAAAATTATGCATAATGTTTTAATGGTTTATTGAATATATTATATATTCAATTGTTGAACTTGATGTTTTTATATAGCAATTGCAATATATTTTTGGGTTTTGGCATATTTGAGTATCTTGAGTTTATATATATATATATATATATATATGAATTTTGACAATTTCTATCTATGTTGGTTATGTGTGGGGTACTTGGGTTGTTGATGTGAGATTTTGGAAAGAATTGCGATTATAGTATGTCAGTTGAAGTGCTATACGCACTACCCTATGTACCTCCCCGGTTATGGAAATTATGAATATAATTGGATTATTGAGATACTTGGATATGTTAGAACCCAGCACCTTGATGGGGTGTTTCGTAAACCCTTAGCGGGGTAGTCTGCGCACGTAGGACTTGTCGTAGGCGTACGAGTCTTGAAGATTCGGTTGTACGTGCTGGTAGAGTTAGTTCCCTAGTTGGACAGCTCGTTCCCTAGCCACATGGTCAATTGAGGATTCTTCCATGTGGACTAGTCAAACAATCCCTAGTTGGATTATTTCCCCGGTACAAACTAGGTGATGTCATTTATATATGTATATATGTATATATATATTATATACATATATACATATATATTCGTTCTTGTTTCTCAGTGAGGATACTTCCTCGCTCGTTGTGCCAACGGGTACGTGTTTCGAGAGTTTACTTTGGGAATTGTAAGGAAAAGTTTGGATGGGTTGACTTATAAAGTTTCATTATGGGTTTTCGGATTTAGCTATGGTTTTGACCAAACTTTATATATATAGGGTTATGACGGTTTTGAGTGCATATGGTTTTATGCATCGTTTTCTTAACGGTGGGGTTATATTACTTTGCTTTCAATTGAACTAAACTTTGTTTTGTTCACTCACACTTTTCTGTTTTGCATCCCTTAGCCAGTAGTTGAATGAACTGAGCAGCAGAGTCGGGTCGCGAGCTTCCGAACTCCGAGCCTTCGTAGGGCTCCTTAGCTTTTTTATTTTTGTTGAACTCCCGTTTCTGTTTGTATTTTGAATTCTTAGATATGCTATATTATCGCCCTGTAGGGTTTGATTTGTGAGGCTGGAGGCCCTTGTTGTAAACTATTTATTTGTTCTGAAGCATGCTGCCTGTTGGGATATTAAACTGTGACTTTAACATGTTGAAAATTTTGGGAAAATGTCCATTTTTCAGGGGAGACTCAGTCTTTAGTAAGTGGGCCCCGGCATCGGGATGATGCCGGAAATACGATGGGATTCGTCCCGGGTTCCAAGGAATCCGGGGCTGGTCTTGTCAGTTTAAGATTTTTTAGACCTGCTGAACAAGTAAACATGATTTTTTTTGGTTTCATGAACATAATGTGACCAATAGAAGCCAATAGTTGTAGGTTGCAGCGCATCTTTGATGAAATATACATTTTCTATTTTAGTTTTTTTTTTCTTTGTTTAAAGTTATTTCTTGCTCTGAGTGATTGAGTCCAAGGCAAAAAATTTGACAAAAAAAGGACTGTTATGTAGCGCGGATCCAAGGCAAAAATGCGTTCTTCACTTAGACGTGTTTGGGGACAGCGTTTAAAATGGAAAAGGTTAAGGGAGAAATTATTTCTGTCATGGGTTGAAAGCATAGCAGAGGCGGCTAAGAAAGGTGGTAGCGGACAGCATGAGCTCTGTTGGGATAGCTATGAGAAGATAAAGCAAAAATTACATCTCCAAGAGCTTCAGCGGGCTGCTGAGAAGAAAAAGGAAAAGGCAAAGGAGAGGGCAAAGAAAAGAGCAATGACAGCAGAACAGGTTAAAGAAAAAAATATGGAGAAGTCTATGAATTCGATACTGAAGAATTGACAGTTCTTCAAGGGCGGAATTGTAAGCAGAGATTAATGAAGGTAATTGCTCAGTAGACAATGCTAAATTATAGCTAGAAGCAATTATGTAGTTCACCATATATAAATTAGAAATACATGTGATATCACTCACAAACTTAGAGCCTATCTTGTAGATTGTCTATGAATCGAAAATACGCAAATCTCCATGTGTTGTTAATAACTAAAGAACCACAGACTCCCCAAAATCCTACTATGAACCCCAACATAGCGAAAATATAAAACCATGGAAGTTGATGATGCCCATTGCCCTTGTCATTGTTGTTCTTGTTATTTGCATCCATGTCCTTATTTGGTCTGCACTTATTTAAAAGTGGGGCACCACAAAGTTTTGAATTCCCCTCAAAAGCAGAAGCGTTGAAGCTTTGGAGCTGGGTGCCTGTTGGTATTGGTCCTTCAAGATTATTGTATGAGACGTTAAATTCTTTTAAGAAATTAAGGCTTGCCAATGATGATGGGATTATTCCAGACAAGTGATTAGTTGAGAAGTCCAAAATCTCTAAATTTTTGAGGTTAGATATTTGGTCTGGAATGATGCCGGAGAAATTGTTGTAGCCAAGAGTCAATCCTTGGAGAAGGTGCGATTGGCCGATCTCAGTAGGTATTTCACCAACAATGTTATTGTTAGATATGTCTATCCATAGTCGATAAAATGACAATTTCTGGGATAGAAAAACTTGAATTCCGCTCATGAAGCTGAAGACCGGCAATTCAAATTCATATTTGTTTGCTTGAGATGCAAGAGGTTCATAAAGCAACCTTGGTAGTCTACAAAGTTGCTTTGGAAATTCCCCTGAGATTTGGTTGTGTGACAAGCTTATATAAAATAGTCTAGGAAGAATCCCTAACCAACTTGGAATTGGCCCTGTGATTTGATTAAAACTCATAACCAACATCTCTAGATTCTTGAGCTTCGATAACCATACAGGTATTTGACCAGTGAGGTTGCAATAAGCCAAAGAAAACACCCGAAGATTTTGGAATCCGTCAAAATCAACCATGTCATCATCAGATGGTATTCCCTCACCCACAAAGGAACCACTAAGCAAGAGTGCGTGAAGACTTTTGCAACTCATCAATATCTTCATTGCCCCTGTGAGGTTGGTGAATCGGTTGTAACCAAGAGAGAGGAAGGACAAGGATTTCAATGAAAGAATCTCAGCTTCTATTTGTCCCTCTAGATGATTTTCAGACAATCCAATGGCTTTTAGGGACCTACACGAGTAAAGGCTTCTTGGAATTGTACCAGTGAAGTTATTCTTCCTTAGGTCAAGTTTAGTAAGTTGACTAAGTCTGGAAAAATCTAGCATGGAGATATCTCCTTCCAAGTTGTTGAATCCCAAAAGCAATTCCACAATTTTTGTGCAATTTATCAAAGATGGGGGCAAAGCACCTTCTAAATTGTTGAAATCAAGGTTCACAAACTTCAACTTAGATAGCTTCCCCAAATTGAGAGGAAGCTCGCCACCAAAATGATTATAGTAGAGATCAAGGGTTGCGAGGTTACTGAGGTTGACAATATTATCACTAATGGCTCCATGTAGTGAATTGAGAGGTAATGAAATTTCTTCAAGTTTGGTAGCATTATAGATATCTTCTGGAAGTAATCCAGAGAGGTAATTGTGACCGGCATGAAAAACTTGCAGTTCAGAACACTTCCCTAGCCCAGGAGCAAGGTCGCCATTAAAGAGATTGGAAGAAAAATCCAATAGCCTAAGGAAGGGAGAAGAATGATGGAGACAAATAGAGGATGGGACATACCCTGTGAAGATATTGTTGCTGACATTGAAACTAGTCAAGTTGCTTGCTTGTTGAAAGAATGAAGATGGAATTGCACCAAAGAAGCGATTGCTGGACAAATCAACTGTCTTGATATTGCTGGATGATAGAGAAAGTGGTAGTTCTCCAAAAAGACGGTTATAGCTCAAATCAAGGATCTCGAGTTGATTCAAAGAAAAGAAGAACTGAGTTTCAAGTGAACCATATAGTGAATTGTGGGAAAGGTTCAAGTGGGTCAGATGTGTGAGATTTGCAAGCGAAAAGGGAGAGATATCTCCTTTGAGCCCTTTGGAAGGCAAGTGCAAACGGGTGACCCAACCATCTTGATCACAAGTGATGCCCTTCCAATGACAACAATCACAATCAATGGATGTCCAATTTAAAGGAGGAGAAGATAGAGTGGAGGCAAAAGACAGGAGGGAGCTGCATTCAGTTTGTTTGCAGGCATGAATATTTGTAGATATAATGCAAGAGAATAAGAGGAAGAGAAGGAAGGCATGAGCCATTAGGTTATAAGCTTGCAGTAGCATGTTGCTTTTGTGTATGTGCTGTTGCTCACATGTATTTATATATATAAGAACAACCATGCTTCAAAACGATGCAAACCACCACCACACAATGCAAATTGAGAAGTCGGGAAACAACAACCACTAAATGCAAATTATTGATATTGAAACCTTTGGGCCACCAGAAGAGGACTTGGCCTTCACAAAGTACTCAAACTTGTTGTCGTGATATATCAATCACAAGAAATATCTTACAACTTGTTTATTGCAGAGTTGTTATAAGCTGATAGGATGTGTCATGATTTTTTTTTTAACAGTAACTACAAATCTCACGGATGTATTTAATGCGTTTCAGATTTGGATGCAAAAGTTTGACGTGTGCTTTCCCTCATTGGTTAATGCGTTTTCAGATTTGGATGCAAACGTTTGACGTGTGCTTTCCCTCATTGGTGTTTTCTTTCATTATGATGACAATTTTTCATGGAATTTGGAAGATATATATATGGTGTGATTTTTCTTGCCAGATAGATATAGCCTGAAAGTGACAGTGCCAGTCAAGCCTGATCCAACATTATACACAGAATTAGAAATACAAATCAAACAGGCTTTAGAGACCTGACCCAACTAAGAGATCCTCAAAATAGCAGAGGCCTTAGTCGAAATCATAACTCCAGTTAGCTAATTAGCCCCACACTATCATTTCCCAGGAAAAAAAAGTAGAATCAGGAAGTACCCACCGGACTCTAGGCAATTCTGGCAAAAGCCCAAGCAATAATTTGATGCAGAAGTACCTTTGATTTTGTACGAAGTCTCTTCAGACACAAGTGCCCCAAATGCATAATAGCACCTAGTTGTAACTGAGTAGATCTTCATCCTTGCTTCTTCCTGTAGTTGAGACACAAACAAATGCATCAATCACTTAATACAAGCAATGTGAACTACTTTAGAGAGTGATCATTATCTTTTATACTGTAGTTGATCGGATATCGCATATTAGGCGTTATCCGGATTCGATATGTTCGGACCGTTGGATCGACTCAAATTTAATATATGTTAATCTAGACATTCCTAGGATTATGTAGGATTTCGCAGATTGTGAATTGGAGCCCCGGATGTTCTGATTCAATAACTTAAAGTTTGTGTTAAATGATAACTGTCCGATCGTACGATCGCGAGCAATTCGACCGTTTGATCCAAACCAAACTTGCAGGACGTGTATTCTAAACCTTGTGGAACCCACATGAACTTCCAGATTAGAAATCGGAGGTCGTGGCCCCCGTGGGCCTGGTTGACCTAATTTGGAAAGTTTGACTGCTCGGTTGACCGAGCGTCTTCCGATGCTATCTCTTCATCCAAAACACGTAGTTAGACTTTAGGAATGTCTCGTTCCTCGTACTTTACTTGTAAGCCGGGAACCTAGGATTTTAATTTAAAGTTTCCGTTCAAAGCATTTTGTATTAATTTCGTACCCGTTTTCTGAAATAGGTGCTTTGACTACTCGCACGCAGCAGGCGGGACCCTCTCAGGGTCAAGCAGTGTGGGACTACTTGTGAGTGGACTTTGTTTTTAAATAATAAGCATGGTTTTTTGATATAAAAATTATGCATAATGTTTTAATGGTTTGTTGAATATATTATATATTCAATTGTTGAACTTGATGTTTTTATATAGCAATTGCAATATATTTTTGGGTTTTGGCATATTTGAGTGTGTGTATATATATATATATATATGGATTTTGACAATTTCTATCTATGTTGGTTATGTGTGGGGTACTTGGGTTGTTGATGTGAGATTTTGGAAAGAATTGTGATTATAGTATGTCAGCTGAAGTGCTATACGCACTACCCTATGTACCTCCCCGGTTACGGAAATTATGGAATAGAAGTGGACTATTGAGATACTTGGATATGTTGGAATCCCGCACCTTGACGGGGTGTTTCGTAAACCCTTAGCGGGGTAGTCTGCGCACGTAGTGTTGTAGAACAATCAGTATAAAACCAAAATAACAGAATAATAAAAACAAATGAAATTGGCTTCATATAAATATAATTGAATCAATACAACATTAATATAAATTGTAGAATACTGACTTGAATTGTAGATAGAGTCCTGCAGAGTTGCAGTATCTTTTAGACAGTATTTCTCCTCTACCCTTGTACTTGTAGTTCGATAGGAGTTTGGTGAACAGAGGTATGAATTCTCTCAGGAAGTGTTTAAATGTGAGAATGATAATACTGTTCAAAGTATCTCTCTGGTTTGAACGTATTATCATTATATAAAGGTCTAACACCTCTTCATCCAACAATTATGTTAACTGTTTAACTTATTCGAATATCAGATTTTGGTTTTATTTGAATAAACGAATTTTCAATTAATAAAAATAAATTATTAATTAAATCAACAGAGCCCAAGAGCCCATCTTTTGACAATTAATTATATATATATATATATTTATCACACAAATATGTATATAATCCAAACTCAAACCATGATGAGGCCCAACTTTGCCTCCACTAGGCTCATACTCTATTTAGTATTTCTAAAGTGTTGGTGTTTATAAACCATGGAAGGAAACACCTCTCTTCCAATGTAGGACTAAATGCAAGTGTATTTTCCTATACAAATGTTGGAATTTTAAAAGGTTTTAAAAATTTAACCATTTTATTTAATTAATTATTTTGACTGTTTTATTTTATTTATTGAGGGGGTTATAAATATTTAATATTCATGTTTTATTTTTGGTTGGTGAATGCCTTAATTTTTTTGGTCGGTGAACTTTTATGGTTGGTGAAGGTTACATGTTTTTGGATGACTATAAAAGGCCACTCCTCCTTCACATTTGATAGACACACAATACACTATCAGAATATCACATACACATTCTAATTATCTCCTTTTCTACTTTTACATATATTCTCTACTTTATATTATTATTATTTTGGGCAATGGTTATGTGACTTGGATACCTATATCTGTCTATGAATGTGCTCATAGCGGATCTTGAGTTTGTGTACAAGGGGTCGTATCTTGGAGTCTTATAGACCGTCAATACCTGCATGTAGGGAGGCTACAAAGGCTTTAGGACAGCGTCTTTGACATGCTTCACCGTACCAAACTCACCTTCTTACTTATTATTTATTTTGCTTTTCCTTACCTATTATTTTGTTTTCTTAAATTTCATTGTACCTTAAAACTTTCTAATTTTTTTTTATAAGTTATTTATAATATAAATGTTTTTCTATTTGGCTTTACAGAAAGAGAAAAGCTATTATTTTTTACAACAACTCTAACAATACCCCACATTTTTATAGGAAAATTATAACGTGCGTAATTGAGAGAACTTTGATATAACACACATCAGGAGAGGTGTCTTTTGGACTTGAACCTACCATAGTGAATATTTATCGGATTTACTAGGTGACGCAGTGAATATAAAATCTTGAACTGTACGTGCTGATAGAGTTAGTCCCCTAGTTGGACGGCTCGCAAGCAGCATTCACAAAGAAGTCCTTTCTACACAAATGGCACAATGTAAAATTTAGAAGGCTTAATTATTGATATGGCCCTTGAAACTCAATTTGAATCTCACGTTGCCATCTAAAACTCAATTTGTCACATTTTACCCCCTGAAACTCAATTCTCAGTCTCACTTTGTCCATATTCATTAACTCCATAAAAAATAACAGAGCATTGAGTTGTGAAGAGCAAAATGTTGAAATTTATAATAGTCAAGCCATACGTTGATGCCCTATTCGTGTTATAAAAATCTTTTCTATTAATTCATATTAGACTAGATATAATAACTTTCATGTACAAGGGTCACAAATTTCAAATTCCCAAAAATAATCATGAGAAATCACAGCAAAAAACACTAAAAAGATGCACAAGACGCATTAGATGAATATGTTAAAGCCAATTCTCCACAAATTCTAATTCAAACAGAAGTTTTTTCTGCCATCTTGGGCCAAAACTGGGCCCAACATTTGGAGTATAGAAGTATTGTGTTCGGGCCTTCGAGCCACGGGCTGTATATATGTATAAATAAACACCCGAGTTCGATATGATCCGACCCATTTCAGTTTCGGAGTAAAACGGGTCGTCGTCGTCTTTTTCAGTCCTCAACTTCTTACTTAGAAGAGTGTAAAAGGAGGAAGAGAAGAGCAATGAGTGGAGAAGAATTAGCGGGCCCCCCAGAGCCAAAGCTCCTCCGTCTACTTTATTTTTTCGGCATTGGCTGTAAGTCATGAATTTTCATTTCAATTTTAAGTCTTCTTCTTCTCCCTTTTTAAATGGTTGGCTAATTTGCACTGTTGGAATCAACAAATGGCGTGAGCTTCAACGCAATTCCATTTTACACAGCACCAGCAACAACAACAGCTCCCTGAAAATGCCGCAAATGCCCTTGAGTGATCTCCAGGTTTAAGGCAAATTTTCAAATTTTGTCACGGAATTTGGCAAGTAAGTTTGATCTTTGGCTTCATTTTGAGTTTCTAAGTGATGCTCCAGCTAAATTATGTGGAAAATGGTGCAAGAATTCATGCCTTTTGTTGATGCTCTTTTTCGGAGAGGGTCAACTTAGAGATTGGGGTTTGTCTTTAGCAAGAAAAGGGCATGGGCTTTCAGTAAAGGGCTAGCCTGCAGAAGACAAAACAGGAGAAGCAGTCGTTAAGCTTCGGACATCGGTGTGGTGCCAGCTGAAGGCTCTCCGATGCTTGAGTCAGCTAGGGGTAGTAACTGTTGCAAAGTAACAGTAATAGTGAGAGAGAAGTTACCCCTTTTCTTGGTTACTGTTCCCTATTTATAGGGAAGTAAAAGTAGGAGGTTTGCACAATGTTCCGATGTGGGACTTTGTGCAAGTTGCTGTGATGATGACATGTGTCTCCTGTGTTTAGGTTTGGCAGTTCGGAGCTTCGGCAGGTGGTTGTCCCTTCGGAAGAACATCTCTCTTTGGCAGGGAAGAAGACATGTCTGCCTTGGTGTTAGTCACTTCGGTGTTAGGCACGCTTGGTTAATTATGGTGTAAACAATAGTCCCCCAAGTTGTCAATCAAGAAGTGGCTTCTGGTTTGGGAACTTGTAAAAAGGTTGTGTAATTAAACCAAGCGTGTCAGCATGGCGGGTGCCAAAGGTAGTCCCCTAGTCCCCCAAGTTTGAAAACTAGAAGACACCTTTTTTTTTGGCCTTTCGAAGATAGCCTGCTGAAGGGAAGGTATGACGTCACGGGTACCTTCCGAAGGGAAGGTGTGATGTCATCGAGAGTCGCAAGGTCCTTCCAAGCTTCGGAAAGGAGCCTTCCGAAGGGAAGTTGTGACGTCATCACGTGTCGCGAGGTTTCCTTCCAAGCTTCGAAAGGGAGCCTTTCGAAGGGAAGTTGTGACGTCATCGCATGTCGCGAGGTTTCCTTCCAAGCTTCGGAAGGGAGCCTTCCGAAGGGAAGGTGTGACGTCGTCGTGTGTCGCGAGTGTTGGTCTGTCGCGAATCTCACGGCCTGGTGCTCCGGGCCGAGGGGATGTGCGTCAAAACGTGACGTCCTTCTTTTGGATGCGGTGCGGTTGTGCGTCGAGATGATGATGAGGTTCGGGTAGAAGATGGTTTAAATGTTGCGTCGAGATGATGATGAGGTTCGGGTAGAAGATGATGAGGTTCGGGTAGAAGATGGTGTTGGTGGTGGGTTTTAGGCGGTGCTCCGGCGTGTTGCTCAGAGAGCGACGGTCGTATGATATATGGGGTGAGTGAGGCGATAACAGAGATGGTGCTCCCGCGCCTTGAAAATCAAGGGTCGTATGATATATTGATGAATGGATTTTCCTTCCAGTCTACCACTACTCCTAAGAAAGCAAATAAAGGTATTGAAAGTGCATTACAGGAAAATATAATTTGCTCCGTGGGAGGCTTTTGGTTTTGGTGTTTGAACCCTTTGAATGTGGTCCTGAGCTTAGTATTTATAGGAGTCCTGAAGGGACATTCGAGGCTGACAAGACCTGCGTGGTGGAGCCTGACCGGGGCAAGCGGGTAGTCAAATCGGCATTTGGGATCGTGAAGCATGGTGGTCTGGGGTTGATAAGCATGGTGGTGTGACCCCTATAAATCTCGGCAGATCTCGGCCACCGCCCTGATCGTGGGTTCTTCCCCCTTGGCCGTGGGAACGCATTTAATGCCATGGTCTGGTGGTTGGTGATCTGACCTTAAGTCGTAAGATTACTTGTGAGAATGTCTGCGCCTAACCACCCTGATTCCCATCACCAAATCCTGGCTTCAATCACTTCCCTCGTGCATTGAATGTTTCTTGTGACTAGTGGGTTTTGCTGCGAAGTCAGAGGCATTACTTCATTAAATGGAGCGTGGGGCCCCGAGGCCACGTGGTGATTCAATCACAGCTTTTCAGACCGTGTCTTTACGGCCTTCGGCCTCGGCCTTTAAAACTGCGGTCGTGAGGCCGAAGGGATTCTGCCTTTACAGCTTTTCTTCTGCTCTTAGGAAGGCGAAATGCCTGACGAAACGGTAGGCTCCAGGGTCGAAGGGAAGTCCCTTCAATCAGTTCATGACCGTGATTTATTAGGCACAAACAGTATGGTTTTTCTTTTATCTTTGCCGATTGCAAAACCTCATAACCCATTATTGGCCGTCTCCCACAGTGACGTGGCATATTTCTTCAAATATTGGCCGTTTATTGGCAAGTTGTGCCATTCCCCATCCTTATCTCTTAACTCAAATGCGCCTCGGCCAAGGATTCGGTCGATAATAAACGGCCCTTCCCAATTGGGTGAGAATTTGCCGAACCGAGGGTCCTTAGTCCCGATAGGAAGTACGGCATGCCATACCAGGTTGCTTTCGGCGAAAGTCCTTTGCTTCACCTTCTTGTTGTAGGACCTTGCCGCGACCTGCTTTTGTGCCTGCATTAGGTTATAGGCGTCGAGCATGGATTGCTCCAAATCTTCTAACTCCTGAGCCATGGCCTGCGCATAGTCCTTCTCTTCCTGCCCAGGTCGTTTGGTCACACGGAGAGACCGAACCTTTAGCTCCATCGGAACGATGGCGTCATGACCGTAGGTTAAGGCATAAGGGGATGTGCCAGTAGCCGATCGTTTCGAGACTCGATAAGCCCAGAGGGCCTCAGGGAGTAAGTCGTGCCATGCCCTAGGTTTTTCCTCAATCATTTTCTCGAGGATACCCTTAATTACCTTGTTGCTTACCTCGGCCTGTCCGTTAGCCTGTGGGTAGTAGGGCGTCGAGTAGACCAATTTGATCCCCATCCTGTCGGCGTATTCTCGAGACTCGGCTGATGCGAATACCGGGCCGTTATCGGCCGTGATGGTTTCGGGTATACCGAATCTGTGGACGATGTGATTTTCGAAGAATCTGACCACCTGTGTGCTAGAAATGGACCGATAGGACTCTGCCTCGACCCATTTAGTGAAATAGTCAGTTGCTACCAAAACCCAAGCGTGCTGGTTGGACGTAGTCGGGTAGATTTTGCCGATGATGTCCACGGCCCATCCTCTGAACGGCCAAGGTTTAGTAACTGGGTGGAGGGCGTCAGCCGGTACCCTTTGTATGGGGTCGTAGATTTGACACTTGATGCACCCCTTCGCATATTCTATGCAGTTCTTTAAAATGGTCGATCAATAATAGCCGTGCCTCCGGACCAACCATCTCATCTTAATGTCGGACTGGTGAGCGCCGCAAATCTCTTTGTGGGATTCGGCCATGATAACCTAGTTATCTTCGGTGCTGGGGCATAGGAGCAATAAACCGTTTGATCATTTTCGGTATAGCTCGTTCTGATAAACCAAATAACACCGAGCTCGGAAGACAGTAGTCCTCTCACAGTTGCCGGAGGGCTCGCGCAGATACTTTACGATGGGGTAGCGCCAGTCGGTTTCGGCTGTTTCGACCTCGTTGGTACTCTCGGCCGATGATACCTGCGCCGTCATTCCCCACTCGGCCAAAGCCAGCAGGGTGCGCTTCTCGATTCTTATTACGCGGTCGCGGTCGCTGTCCGGAATGTTCACACCTGACGCTACCTGGGCCATCTCATTGGCCTCATGGTTTTCGGCGCGAGGTACGTAAACGAATGAGATCCTAGAAAATTCGTCGGCCGTATTGAGGGCCGTTACATAATACAAGGTTAAATTTTCGCTCGTGCACTGATATTCCCTAGTCAGTTGGTTAATTACCAACTGAGAATCACTGTAGACCAGGACACGGGTCGCCCTCATTTCTCTTAGAATTTCAAGACCGATGATGAGTGCTTCATATTCGGCCTGATTATTGGTGCATTTGAAATCAAGCTGGAACGCAAATTGCCACCTTTGTCCTTGGGGGGATTCGATCACGACCCTGGCCCTGACCTGGTCTCGGTATTGGAGCCATCGAAGTACATGGTCCAGTAGTTTTTCTCCATGTGGGTCATGCCGATCTCAACCTCTAACTCCCTCTTTTGCCCCTGAGCCGGGTGGTGGGCCAAGAAAGCGGCCAATGCCTAGCCTTTGACCTACTTCTGGGCCACATATTGGAAGGTGAATTCGGACAACGCCATCGTCCACTTCCCGATCCGACCGCGTATGATCGGCCAAGTAAGCATGTATTTGATGAGGTCGGTCTTGGAGATGATCTGAACGACCGAATGAGGCATATAATGGCGCAACTTAGTGGCTGTGAAATAAAATGCCAAGCATAATTTCTCGATTGGTGAATAGTTTAGCTCGGCCATGTTGAGGGTGCGGCTCAGATAATGCACCGCTTGCTCTCGCTCAGATTTGTTATTCTGGGCCAGCAGACAACCGATAGAGCCTTCTGAAGCTGAAATGTAAAGCCTCAAGGGTTTCCCTCTTTTCGGCAGCATAAGGACCGGCGGTTGAGATAAATATTGCTTGATGTCGTCGAGGGCCGCTTGATGTTCAGCCCCCCACACGAACCGTTCCGTGTCTTTCAGTTTGAGCAAAGGAGTCAATTGCCGGATCTTTCCCGACAAATTGGATATGAACCGCCTTAAAAAGTTGACCTTACCGTCGCCCCACAGTCAACGAAGACCTTGGACACGAGCACACCCTCCACATGAGCCGAGATGTATAACGGTTTGAGGTGTCGGTATTTGTTTGGCTCGTCTTTGGGTATTACCTCGTTAAAAGCCACGGCCAACAATTCTTCCTTTGTCTTTGGTCTTTGATCAAGCTGTTCCTCGGCCACGTTATTATCCAGGCCATTGGTCTGGCCTCTTGGGGCCGAAAACTCAGACGGTAGTACCAAAACCATGTTCATGCTGACCTCCTTTGGCTTCCACTGGTTTCCCCTACCAGCCTCTTTGTTGACCTCGCGGCCGCCACTGGCGAGGGTTTTTTCCTCAATTATTCCGAGGATCCCATCGTAGTCGTCGTCAGAGATTCCCAACGCGGGGTCATCCTCGGCCTCGTGACCAAAGAGAAGGTCACCGGGGCCCTCGGCCATAGGCCTTGCAGTCCCAGGGTTATCGTCTGTGGCCGCTATGGTCTTAGGGGGGGTCAGAGGTCCCGACTTCCTCCTTCGGTCGTCAGACCAAATCGCTTCTGCGAAGGGATCCTTGGCCCCCAATTTTCCCTGCTCGGGTCGGTAACCTGGCGCCCCTCTTGCCCTGGTCTCTCGGTTCGCCTGGTATACGGCCTTAATGGCCGAGTCGGATTCGTTGGTAATGAGGAGCCTTTCTGCCTTGGCGTTTCTGAGGGTCAATTCCACGATTTCACGGTTTTCAGGGGTCATGCCGTACAGGTCGATGGCCTAGTGGTCCTTGTGGAATTCCATGAGAAAGGACAAATCGTTGGCCGAAAAAGGGGGGTCCCTTCCGTGGTAGACATCGATGATGCCTTCATCTGCTCCCTCCAGGGCCGCGGCCTTTAGGATCACCGTCTTGCCTAGGGCGCCACACCCTTGGAGGCTTGGCGCTGGTGACCTTTGCTGCAGGGGGAACGATTGGCGCGGATGGTGTTTCGTCTGCAGTCGCCATTTTCTTTTGGCGTTTTAACCCCTCAGGGTCTTTGTCAGAGGTTTAGTGCTGCCCCCAGGTCAAGCATGATACCAACGGTCATCCCGTACGACCGGTGGTCTGAAAGTCTTCACCGGCCTAGGAGCGGCTCCTTTTTTGTGGCATGTCGAGGTACTGGGGCCTCGTGCCCCTAGTCGGTCGAAAATAGCTCTTATCGCTGGCCCACAGTCGTACTGGCCGCCGAATTTCCTCATAGCCGGTCGAGACGGCTCGATGGCCTTCCTCTTGTTTTCCAGCGGTCTGAGCTGACCGATCTTAGACTTGCACCGACTGCACGGTACTGGCTCTGGTGCGGCCAACGGCTCATTTCTTTTTGCAGGCCGACGAATTTCCCTATATTCGGCCCGGAGCTGAGCGTTGACCATGTTGATGACAAGCGGAGGGAATGGCTTAGAGTCGACTTGCATGGCCGCCTTTTCCGGAAATTGAAGCTTCTTTTCGTCTATCAACTTCTGGATGACGTCTCGCAGAACAACGCAATTATTGGTATTGTGAGACCAAGAACTGTGGTATTTGCAGAACGTCTTTCCTTTGAGCTCTTCGGGTTTCAGAATTTTATGGCCGAAGGACAATTTGACATTTTTCTCGGTTAATAGTAGGTCAAAGATAGCTTCGGCCCTAGTCAAATCAAAAGTATAGGCCTTCATTTCTCGAGTCGCGAACTTGGCGTCGGGAATCTTTGTGCGGCTATTGTCGGCCTTGACAAGTCCTTTGCAGACAAACGGCTTGTCTATGCTGACTTCGGCTGAGCTCATCTCAACATCGTCGCCCTCGGCCTCTGTGGGGTTGTCTGCTTCGGCATAGCTGACAACGGGATTCCGATAGTAAGTCCCTTTTGAAGTCGTCCTCTTCTGCACCTCTTCTTTCAACAAGGATGCGTATCGGTCCACCTTGTTGATCAAGTCGTGCATGTCCCAGAATTCAATCCCCTGGGATTTCTTCTGGTATTCGAATTCCAACCCTTCTTCGGCCATCTTGACAAATTCCCTCTCCAGTAGGTTCGTGTGGCACCAGTTCCTACACATTTTGAACTGCTTCAAGTAGTCGCGAGGTGATTCATCTGACGCCTAGCTCATCCTTGCCAGCTCGGCGACCGTTATTTCCCGATTGGTCTGGTAGAAATGTTCGTGGAATATCCTTTCCATGTCAGACCAATCCCTCACCAAATTCGGTGGAAGGTTTATGAACCACGAGAAGGCCGCGCCGGTCAGAGAGTAAACGGAGCTTCTGGGCATCCGAATTGGCCTCTTCGCACTGGGTCGTGAAGTGGCCTATGTGTTCGATGGAGGAGGTCTGCCCATCCTCAGAGAATAGAATGAATTCTGGCAACCGGTAGTTCCAGGGAAAAGGGGTTCGGTCAATTTCTGGCGCTTCCGGGCGCCTCTGAGCCAGGCTGTCCTCAATCATTCGCCCAACGTCTTCGAATCGAAGCCCCTGAGGGGGCGCATCTTACTTGGCCGCGACTAGCCGTGGAACTTGTTGCCCCTCGATCTGCGGCCTTACCTGCTGGGCCACTTGAACGGGGGGTTTGGCCGTTGCGACCGAGCTGGGTGGTACCAGATATGCGCCTTAGGTTTGACCGGGGTTCGTATGGGTTGTAGTTAGAATGGCCAAACCGTACTGAAGATGGGAGCCTGACGGCAATAACGACATGTGTAATGGTGAAACGGTCGTATTGCTGTGATGAAGCAGCGGTCGAGTTGCTTGGGCTGGGACGGGTCTGGACGGCCACAGTGTGGACTGGGCCGAGTTGCTGGACCGCGGACTGTGCGGGGCTGCTTTGCCCAGTGACACGGCCAAAGCATGGAGTGGGCCGTACGTCGTCTCTGCCGGGTAGGTCGGTCCGGGATTTACCCATGTTGGCTGGGATTGCCCCTAGCTGTTTGTCGGCGGCTGTGAATGCTGGCCGTAATTTGACGCTTGGGTGCGGCTCTTGGCCTCTCTGTCTGGCTCTGGGAGGCGTTGCAGACGATGTCACTGGCATCCTCTCCGGAAAAAGCGTCTGTAGCTCCGTGGGAGGCGTTGCAAATAAAGGTATTGAAAGTGCATTACAGGAAAATATAATTTGCTCAGTGGGAGGCTTTTGGTTTGGTGTTTGAACCCTTTGTATATAGTCCTGAGCTTAGTATTTATAGGAGTCCTGGAGGGACATTTGAGGCTGACAAGAACTGCGTGGCGGAGCCTGACCGGGGCAAGTGGGTAGTTAAATCGGCATTTGGGATCGTGAAGCATGGTGGTTTGGGGTTGAGAAGCATGGTGGTGTGACCCCTATAAATTTCGGTAAATCTCGGCTACCGCCCTGATCGTGGGTTCTGCCCCCTTGGCCGTGGGAACGTATTTAATGCCCTGGTCTGGTGGTTGGTGATCTGACCCTAAGTCGTAAGATTACTTGTGAGAATGTTTGCGCCTAACCACCCTGATTTCCATCACCAAATCCTAACTTCAGTCACTTCCCTAGTGCATTGAATGCTTCTTGTGACTAGTGGGTTTGCTGCGAAGTCAGGGGCATTACTTCATTAAATGGAGTGTGGGGCCCTGAGGCCACGTGGCGATTCAATACTGCGGTCGCGAGGCCGAGAGGATTCTGCCTTCGCAGTTTTTCCTTTGTTCTTAGGAAGGCGAAATGCTTGACGAAACGGTAGGCGCCAGGGCCGAAGGGAAGTCCCTTCAATCAGTTCATGACCATGATTTATTAGGCACAAACACTTTTACGCTTCGGAAGGGAGCCTTGGAATCGAGGGGTCCTTCGTATGCCTTTAAAAGATTGTGGAGGGCTAAAGGAGTGAGCACTTGGAATTTTCAAAAGATTTGAGTAGACGAGCAAGGGCGATTTCCGATAAGGTTCAGGTACGGCGGAGCGATTTCCGGCGAGGCGTGAAAAGATATTTTCGTGAGCCAGACGATTTCCGGCAACCGTGTACGGTGGTGATAACAAGGTATGCCTTGTGTTCTTTCTCCCTTTCTAGATTGAAATGCCTCTTTTGCTTGAGTTTTGCATGAATTTGGTATGAACATGGATGAACTTCCATGAACATATGAAGAACATGCCTAGGCTTTTGTTTTCAATCTTCGCATGCCCCTTAGTTTCCCTTTTTTGTGTTTGTAGATGTCTGATAATTCTGAAAGAGAAAGTCAAAGCTCCCCAAGTCCCCATACCTTCAGTGGGGAAGAGTTTGAGAGTGGTAGCCATAATGAAGACTTGGGTACTGATAGGGAAAGTACTGGGTCTGAACGTCTGGTGGAAGGGCTGATAGTGGAGGGAAGTAGGGTTGGGGAGAAGAGTAGTCAAGGAGTTCTGCGGGGAAAGCCTATAGGGAAATGCAAAGGAACTATGTGACCCTAGAAGCTTGTGCCAACCGAGTGTTGGGGATAACCCAGGCACCAGAGGCTAGTGCAAGTGGGCGAGCGGGGCCATCGGGGTGTGGTACGGTGGTAGTAGCATCCGCCGATGTGGGCATTCCAATAGGGGTTCACTACCGAAGAAAAAATATGATAAGTCTGTATGATCTAGAGTCGCTGAAGGTAGATTACGCTATACCTGAGTGTGTGGGGCTGAGGTTGCCACTACCTACTGAAGCGGCAAGATACCCTTCCGAGGGTTGCGTTATGGTGTTCTCAGCCATGTACAAACATGGATTGAGGTTACCATTGCATCCTTGGGTGCAAATGATGCTTTCCAGATTGGGCTATGCCCCTGGGCAGTATAATCCCAACTTCTGGTGTATACTGCACGGGGTGTACATAGCATGGTGGTTGGCGAAGCGACGGGAGCCCTCTTTTGAGCAGTTCATGCATCTGTACTCCGTGTCCAGGCAACAGGGCAACTTTGGCTGGGTGCAGGTCAACTGTCGAAAGGCGAAGGAGAGAGGATACTTTATAGGGCAACCACCATCGTCGCAGAAGACGTGGCGAAATCGGTGGTTCTTTGCCTTCGGTGATTGGGAGTGCTGGCCTGGGAAGACTGTAAGCAAACATGTGCCCACCCAATTTCAATCTATAGGTCTTTGGTTATAACTCCTGTCTTTGTGTTGAATGTGTTGGTATGAATATGTATTGTTGTCAGAAGCTTGTGAAAAGTAACGCCTTTGTCCATGTGCAGGTTCTGTGAAGTGTAGGCCAGTGTCCAGGGAGTAAGAGGAAGAGATAGAGCTGGTGAGGAGACACCAGCTCTTCTTCTACAGTCGGGGTTGCTTCAAGGAAGTAAGTATTGGCCTTCTCCCTCCTTTTTGTATGTTTGTCTTTGTATATGTGCTCACCTTTGCTTCAGTTTTGTGGTTGCAATGGCTGAGGTGCCGAAGAAGGTGGTGACCGTGGCTGAGGATTCACTAAAGGTAGTGATGGATATGAAGGAGAGGCAACGAAAGTTGCGAGAGAGAAGAGAGAAAGATAGGGCCAATAGGGCCAAGAAGCAGGCAAAGGGTGCACCCAGCACAGCGAAGGGGACAGTAGCTCGGGCTGTTGAAAAGCGGCCTCGGCAGGAGGATGATAAGCTGTTGGCGGAGCTGGAGAAGAAACGGAGGGGGCTTGAGTCTTCGATCCATGACGTCATGGGTGGAACAGTGCTGCCGCCATTCGACCTAGATCCCCCACCTAGGCTGTCGCTCGAGATGGAGGAGCTGTTCCCTGCAGGTACCGAGGATATAGACTTTGCCTCGGTTCGACGGGAGGCGAAGGAGGTAACCCTGGCCATGCATCACCAGGAAGTGCCTCTTGTCAATGCCTTCCTGACTGGGGTAAAGATTGATGGGAGGGAGCTCGCTCGGACCAAGGCCACGGACTTCTCCGATCGGGTCCAGAAGACGGTGCTCTTTACCGCCAATGTAAGTAGTATTGTGCCTTTAACTTTCTAGTAGTGCAGTTATAAAGTCGTCTGGCTTACGAACATATCTTTCTTGCAGGCTTTTGGGGATATGTACCTCACCCTAGTTAGGGCGGAGAAAGAGGTAGACTTGGCTAGACGCCACTCTGAGACAGCTAAAGCCGCTACCGCCAAGGCTCAGGTTGCCATCCGGGAGAGGAATGCGCTTCAGCTGAAGGTGGGGAGGCTGGAGCGGGAGCTAAAGGAGACAGCCCGGCGGCTAGAGGCGGTGGAGGAGGCTAGGCTCGAGTCTGAGAGGAGGAGGACCGAGGAGTTGAGCATCGCTCGTGCCAAGGCTGTGGAGGAGTATCAGGGTTCTGACAGGTTCAAGAGCCTTGTGCTGGACGTGATGGTCGAGGAGCAGTATAGGTGGGAGAAACTAGTTGAGAGGTTTAGTCCAGAGTTGGATATAAACTTTGACACCAGTGGTGTTCCCCCTCCCATTCCTTCCGGTAGGGAGTCACTGTTTGCAGCTACTCTGTCTGCCGAGGCCACGAGTCCTTCTAAGGCCGAGACGAGGGGAGGTGCCGATGCTAGCGGAGGGGAGTCGACTGTGGATCCTGACACAACTGCTGAGGAGGAGGTGGACGACCATGCTGATGCCTGAGCGCTTGTGTATATTTTTTTTTATGATGTACCCATTTGTTTCAGACATAGTCTTTTGACATGTATGGATATTGCCCTGCCCTAAGGCAGGGTTACTTTGATTTTTATGATAGCCTGATATCTTTTTGCTTTATGCATTCTGCCAACTTCTGAAGTGTGACTGAGTATAAATAGGGCCTAGTTGGGTGCTTCTATTAGATGAGTGCTGAAGGGCAGAAAGTACAATGATAAGTTTGAGTCAAGGCTCAAGACCGAAGTATAAGAAAACATAATGTCCTAGGGTCTAGGTATGTTTACTTGTAGTAGTACTTGAGATGGTCAGCGTTCCAAGGATGAGGCAAGGTTTTGCCCTTGGGATCCCAAAGTTGATAAGTCTCGGGGCAGCTAACCTTGGTCATCTCATATGGACCTTCCCACGTAGGGCCTAGGGTACCTTCATTAGGATTCTTAGTGGCCAAGGAAACCTTGCGCATGACCCAGTCTCCAGTTGTGAAAGCTCGGGGTTCGACTATGGAGTTGTAGTACTTGGCAATACGCTGTTTGTACGCGACATTGCGTATGTTGGACTGGTCACGAAGCTCGTCAATGAAGTCGAGGTTGAGGGCTAACTGCTCGTTATTGGCCTCGGCCTCATAAGTGAAGGTTCGGTATGTGGGCTGGCCAAACTCTACTGGTGCCACGGCTTCGGTACCAAAGGAAAGAGAAAACGATGTTTCTCCCATTGAGGTACAAAAGGTGGTGCGATAGGCCCAAAGAACTTCTGGGAGTAGCTCTGGCCAGCAACCCTTGGCTTTGTCAAGCTTGGTCTTCAGGGTCTTCTTGATAATTTTGTTTACGGCTTCGACTTGGCCATTAGACTGAGGATGGGCTGGGAAAGCGAAGAAAAGTTTAATCTTAAGGTTGGAACAAAACTGCTTAAATTTTGCGTTGTCAAATTGCCGGCCGTTGTCCTTGACAATGGCGTTGGGGATGCCGAAGCAGCACACGATATTTCGCCAGACGAACGTCTCAATGCGAGCCGCAGTGATGGTGGCTAGGGCCTTAGCTTCAGCCCACTTAGTGAAGTAGTCGATGGCCACGACTGCGTACTTGACCTGGCCCTTGCCCTTGGGCATAGGTCCAATGAGGTCAAGTCCCCATTAGGCGAATTGCCAAGGACTGACTATGGCTCTTAAAGGTTCAATGGGGAGTTGAGGGATACTGGCAAACCGATGACACTTGTCGCACTTCTGGGTGAAGGCTTGGGAATCAGTGTGAAGTGAGGGCCAGAAGTATCCTTGCCTAATGGCCTTATGCGCTAGTGAGCGGGCGCCTGAATGATTACCACAGATGCCTTCGTGGATTTCCTGGAGGACATAGTGACCTTCCTCTGGGGTCAGGCACCGAAGGTAGGGTAAGCTGAATCCGCGCTTGTACAGGGCGCCATTAATGATCAGGTATCGGGCGGAGCGATAGCGAACACGCCGCGCTTCAGCAGGGTCAGCGGGTAGCGTCTGGTTCTGCAAAAATTGGAGGATGGGGTCTATCCATGTTGGGCTGTGATTGATGGCGCAGATGAGTGGTGCCCGTGTGCTTGGCTGATCCAAGATTTCCATGTGGATATTACGGCCAATACCCTGCTCTATGGCTGAGGCTAATCTAGCTAGGGCATCGGCATGGCTATTCTCCGAGCGCAGCACCTGGCTTATGAGATAAGCATTGAAGGTTGTAAGCAAATGGCGGGTATGTTGGAGGTAGGCTATCATGGACACGTCCTTGGCAGTGAAGTCCTAGTTGACTTGGTGGACAACAAGCTGTGAGTCGCTGAAAATCTGAATTTGCCTGGCGCCCATCTCCTTGGCTAACCGAAGGCCAGCTAAGAGTGCTTCGTATTCGGCCTCATTGGAAGAGCCATCCACATACAAGGTCCATAAGGGCTGAGTTAAGTCTAGGGTGCCGTTGCTGGCGACGTGGACTTGGCTCAAGGTAGGAGTGGGCTCCATCGTAATCTGTGGACCGGCCACGGCATGGGGTTCGGTGAATTCAGATATAAAGTCAGCCACAGCTTGGCCCTTTGTGGCTGGGCGGGGTTTGTAGTGGATATCAAGTTCGCCAAGTTCAATGACCCACTTGACTAGCCTCCCGGAACTCTTCGGCTTCTGCAACACTTGCCGAAGTGGTTGATTGGTTAAGACATGAATGGTATGAGGCTGAAAGTATGGCCTGAGGCGCTGAGCCGAAATCACCAGGGCGAATGCCAGTTTCTCGATGTCCGGGTATCGAACCTCGACGTCTTGTAACGCTTTGCTGACATAATGCACTGGGTGCTCAGCACTGTCCTTTGTTTGGATGAGCACAGAACTGACCGCGATGGACTTTACTGCTGAAGCATAGCAGCTTCTGGCGCCAAGTTGGTCTCCGCGCACCGTGCCTGTGCCATAAGGCGTAGGAAACTTGAGCAGCAGCATATGGGTGGAGATGAAGACCTTCATTTGGGCCATGGCGGGGCAGCCGATGATGACATTGTAGGCTGTGGGGCAGTCGATAATGAGGAAGGGAGTGGTGATTGTCCTCTGCTGGGGTGCCGATCCAATAGAGATTGGGAGATGAATGCTTTCAATGGGCTGGACCACCTCACCAGAGAAACTCACTAGGGGTGTAATGCTTCAGTCAAGCAGGTGAGATGAGACCTGGAGCTCGTTGAAGGCCTCAGCAAACATCACATTGACCGAGCTGTCAGTGTCCACCAAGATACGCCCCACATCAAAGTTAGAAATGTCGGCGCGGATAATGATTGGGTCATCGTGGGGGAGAATAACACCGCGCTCCTCCTCCTCGCAGAAGGTAATAGGAGCCCAGCCTGATTTATGGGTCTTCGGCAAGCGTCCCTGCTCAGCACTGAAGACCTGGTGTGCATAGGTGGAGCGGACATAATGCTTGATGGAGTTGTTGGAGGTTCCAGCCAGGGTGGGACCACCATTGATAGTTGAGATCATGTTGATCTGCCGTTGGTGAGGGTTAGGTGGGGGTGGGAGATTGTGCACGTATTTATCCAGTTTCCCCTCACGAATAAGTCCTTCAATGATGTTGCGCAAGGCAACACAAGATTCGGTGTCGTGTCCACCGAACTGATGAAAGCGACAGAAGACACCTGTGTTGGGCATGGGTTTGCTGCCCGGTCTCCGGGGAGGAGGCTTGGGTATGATAGGTGCCTCGTGCAACAGGACATTCTCGTAGGTAGTGTTCAGGGTGGTGAAGACCTCGAACCTAGGCTTCAGTGAGAAGGGGAGTGGAGCCCGATCACCTGCCCTATGTGGGTTGCCCCCACTGGACTGGTGGTGGTTGCTATGTCTGCCCCGCTTGCCATTGTTGAAGGTATGCTGGTAGTTATCTTTCCGCTTGGGGTGCTGGGTACCCTAGGTACTTGGGGCGGAAGTAGAATGTTGAGGCGAGGCTGAGTTGGGTATTGAAGCAGGTGGGGGATCAGCGAAAGGATGATGTGCCGGGGTGGCCGAGCCACGCTTGGAGTTGAAGTACTCAGCTTTAGCATGAACTGCTGCCTGCTTCATTAATTCAGCATATGTGTTCCAAGGGTTGCTGTGCACTAGGTATCGAAAGTTAGACTCTCGGAGGCCACTCTTGAAAGCACCAAAGGCGGCACGATCATCGGTCTCTGGGCAGCGGGAGTACTCGTGGCTGAACCTGGCTGCATACTCCCGAAGGAGCTCATCCTCACCCTGCCTAAGCATGTACAGGTCGTCCGTGGAGTAGAGGCGATCAGTCTGGATCATGAAATGGTCTAGGAAGGCCTGCTTCAGACTGTCAAACATATTGATGGTGCGGGGGCTCAGCCTGTAGAACCAATTCAGGACCGCACCGCTGAGAGTGGATGGGAAGAGGAGGCACATGCCTTCGTCGGTTAAGCCTTTGCACCCCAGGGCAGACTGGAAAGAATGTATGTGGGTGAGGGGATCCTCTGTGCCAGTGTAGAAGGCGATGCGGAGGGGCTGGATTTCCTTCTCTTGGTGGTAATTAAGGATGCGTTCGGTAAAGGGCCCAGGTCGTGGCTTCACTCAGAAGGGTTGGTGGTTGCGCTACTGCTCATTCTCCAGGCGTTGGACCTTCTCAAAGAGAAGTCTCATTGCCGGGTCGGCATGAGGGAGAGTCTCGGGTGCTGGAGGTCTGGTGTGTGGGTGGCCAGGGGCTAGATAAGGGTCAGGTCCACCGAACTCCTCGGTGTGATAAGACTCGTGCTCTTCTGAGTAATCATGCCCCCAGTTATCCGAGTCCCCCATACCCTCTCCCGCAGGCACATGGGTTGGCTTTGGTAGGGGGCCTAGGTGTGTCACCTTTGGGTCTTGGAGATTAACGGGGATAAGAAGGGGTCCCGTTTGACGGTCCAGGATACGGTCCCTGCAATCGCTGTAGACCTTCGTTGGTTCATGAGGTCGATTCCTCGACGAGGAGATATGGAGAAGCCGTGACTTGGTCGTCTCCGGATGGAGGGGGCCTTTACCCTTGCTGGGCCTAGGCTGGATTGGGGGACTATGATGGGAATGCTCTGGCTAGTTTGGCTGTGTGCGCTCAGGTTCATGGGTAAGGCTGTGTTGGGAGCCTTGGACTTGGTTCCTTTCCCAGTTACGCTTCAGGATGCGGTAGTCGTGCTCCAGCTCAACATTCTTGGAATGAAGATGGTCACACCTCTCGGACATCTTGACGAAACTGGCGCGGAAGAGCTCCACCTCGGCCTGGAGATTGACCTCCGCCGACGGTCCCCTTTGGGAAGTACTCTCCTGGGGGGTATTGCGCTGGGCATCGTGGCTATCCTCAGTAGGCATGGTTGAGTGTGGAGTGAAGAAGAGGCGACGGGGCTGGATAGATGAAGGAGCCAGCTGGGCTGGTAGAGAAAAATGGGTTTTAAGTATTCGATTCCCACAGACGGCGCCAAACTGTTGATGCTCTTTTTCGGAGAGGGTCAACTTAGAGATAGGGGTTTGTCTTTAGCAAGAGAAGGGCCTGGGCCTTCAGTAAAGAGCTAGCCTGCAGAAGACAAAACAGGAGAAGCAGTCGTTAAGCTTCGGACACCGGTGTGGTGCCGGCCGAAGGCTCTCCGATGCTTGGTTACTGTAAAAGTAGGAGGTTTGCACAAAGTTCTGATGTGGGACTTTGTGCAAGTTGCTGTGATGATGACACGTGTCTCCTGTGTTTAGGTTTGGCAGTTCGGAGCTTCGGCAGGTGGTTGTCCCTTTGGAAGAGCATCTCCCTTTGGCAGGGAAGAAGGCATGTCTGCCTTGGTGTTAGTCACTTCGGTGCTAGGCATGCTTGGTTAATTATGGTGTAAACACCTTTCAATCTGTTTGAATATACGAAGTACCTATGTGTGCAAATTTCTTTGGCTTCATTTTGAGTTTGATCAAATTGCTAATCCGAGTATTCAGTGTACAAATTTGAATGGTAATGGGGATTGTCCAGATTTCGATTTTGTATACATTTGTGCTTCTTTTGTGACATTTTCTCTCTACTTTATAGTTTGATTCGGGCAGTATACAAAATTCTTGAGGATGACTCAAATAGCGAGGTGAGGTTATTGGTGTGTGTGTGTGTGTATGGGTGCTGAAAAGAAAAAGGAAAAGGTGAAGGAGAGGGCAAAGAAAAGAGCAATGACAGCAGAACAAGTTAAAGAAAAAAATATGGCAAGGATTGCTTGTGAGAGGAGAAAAGATGGAGAAGTCTATGAAGATACTGAAGAGTTGACAGTTCTTCAAGGGCGGAATTGTAAGCAGAGATTAATGAAGGTAATTGCTCAGTAGCCAAGACAATACTAAATGGGTGGTGCTAGAGGCACCAACTTTAGGCACCAACTCTCTAATAGAGGTGGAGCCCGCCAATACACCGGGTCCCACGCTCTATTAGAGAGTTAGTGCCCAAAGTTGGTGCCTCTAGCATTTTCCATACTAAATTATAGCCAGAAGCAATTATGTAGTTCACCATATATAAATTAGAAACACATGACATATCACTCACAAACTTAGCATAAATAAATAGTATCGCTAAGCATACAATATTAAGTTCACGGGTAGGTCAAAGAGAAGTGAGTTTTGGAGGGGGAGGAGTATTCAAATTACAGATGAAATCTGTTTAACATTGAACCATAATGCTTTGATATATGTAAAGAAACTGACGGTGGATAGAAAAAACGGGTAATGATTGCTTTTCAAATTTGAGACAGGACTTAAGGTTAAAATCTTGTATATTGCAAAATTATTTTCCTGATTCATAAACCAGCTTGCAAAATTTCTTCTTCTTGAGGACAATTTGAAATCCGCACTATCTCACCCTCTGTTCTTGATCTCTTGGCTTTAAACATTTAGGGAACCTTGCTAGATCAGCATATTAATTATTTTCCTTCATGTTTTCTAATCTGTTGCTTTTAAATGGCATCACCTTTTCCAATGTTGTTTGTTTGAGTGTGTTATTGAATTCTCTTTCTTCTTAATAGTTTGAAAGAAAGACTTCATAAAATGGACAAGCTGCTGCTCGAGGGGACATAGTCATGTCGCATAACTCAGCTTTTGAGAAACTGGATCTAGAGGTTATAAAGAGAGAAAAAATGCAGAAAGAATTTTCATTCGCAGACCAGATCAGAGCTGCCAAAAACAAAAGAACGGAATTAACTGTGGAAGCCTCATCCTCTGTTCATGCAGCCAACAAGAAACCAGGGGAGTATGCTTAAATTTCCACATCCCTAGCAGCAGTTGAAATAGAGGTGTATGGAGGGCAACTTTATTCTTGTTTTCTTCTTTAAAGTGGGACAATTTGCTTGTTTTTATGTAGCTTAATGTTCATTTGTTGATGGTTTGTAGGAAGAGAAAATATCGGACTCTTGGACACATTTTTCCAACCAGTCGCAAGAGTCTGGTAATTTGTTTTCAGGGCTTCATTCATGTTATATGGAAGAGGTCCATCTGGCGACAGTGCAACGTTTTTATGTGAAAAATTTGTTAGGTGAATTTGTCATGACCAGAAATTATATCATCCGCTTTCAAGCACAGGAAATATCTGATTTGCCTTGCCAATGTCCATGCTGGTTGTGATATTGACTTTAGACAGTCGAGTTGTTATAAGCTTATAGGATGTGTCATGATTTTTTTAACAGTAGTAAAAACCCTCACCGATTTGGTTCTTCTCTTTTAGTTTGTAAACAATTTGATTGTTCTGCAGGGGTTGTGTGATGGATTCAAACTCCACAATAGAGACCCAAGGTTTTGTAAGTTCAACATGGAAGAAAGAAAACCATAAGTTGTGAGATTCGTAGTTTATTTTCTCCGAAATAAATTGGAGAGCAGCATCATATATTATATTTCTTTTTTTCAAATCTATCAGAAACAGCATACTGAGGAGTTCATAACAATGTTGTAGATTTTTTCCTGCAGCTGAACTGGGTTATGGTATAGTATTTTCACTTGTCTGCATGAGTTTAGGGTTCCTTTTAGCCCATAACTTTATGAACAGAACAACATATATCCTTTAAATTTGAGTCCGGTTACTTTGAAAGGAAGAAAAAAAAAAAGGAAAAGCAAACTGAAAATGCAAAATAAAAAGTACAATATTAATAATATATATCTAGTCTCTAGAGCCTATCTTGTAGATTGTCTATGAATCGAAAATATGCATATCTCCATGTCTTGTTAATAACTAAAGAACCATAGACTCCCCAAAATCCTACTATGAACCCCAACACAGCGAAAATATAAAACCATGGAAGTTGATGATGCCCATTGCCCTCGTCTTTGTTGTTCTTGTTATCTGCATCCATGTCCTTATTTGGTCTGCACTTATTTAAAAGTGGGGCACCACAAAGTTTTGGATTCCCCTCAAAGGCAGAAGCATTGAAGCTTTGGAGCTGGGTGCCTGTTGGTATTGGTCCTTCAAGATTATTGTAGGAGACATTAAATCCTTTCAAGAAATTAAGGCTCGCCAATGACGACGGGATTGTTCCAGAAAAGTGATTCATGAAGAGGTTCAAAATCTCTAAATTTTTAGGTTAGATATTTGGTCTGGAATAACGCCGGAGAAGTTGTTAGAATGAAGATCCAACTCGCAGAGAAGCTGCAATTCGCCGATCTCAGTAGGTATATGACCACTCATGTTATTGTTATATAAGTCTATTACTGCTGGAAAAGAAGACAATTTTCGAAAAAGTTGACTTTCAGGATTTATCCCGCCGAAGACAGGCAATTCAAATTCATATTGGTCTTCTGCTTCATAAATCAACCTTGGTAGTCTACAAAGTTGCTTTGGAAATTCACCTGAAATTTGGTTGTCTGACAAGTCTATATAAAACAGTCTAGGAAGAGTCCCCAACCAACTTGGAATTGGCCCTGTGATTTGATTATCACCCAGTTGCAATATCTCTATATTCTTGAGCTTTGATAACCATACCGGTATTTGACCAGTGAGGTTAGAACTAGCCAAATTTAAAAACCGAAGATTTTGGAATCCGTCAAAATCAACCATGTCATCATCAAATGGCATTCCCTCACCTTCAAAGGCACTAGAAAGAATGAGTGTGTGAAGACTTTTGCAACTCATTAATATCTTCATTGCCCTTGTGAGGTTGGTGAATTGGTTGAAACTAATCGAGAGGAAGGATAAGGATTTCAATGAAAGAATTTCAGCTTGTATTTGTCCCTCTAGATGATTTTTACTCAATGCAATGGCTTTTAAGGACTGACATGAGTAAAGACTTACTGGAACCGTACCAGTGAAGTTATTGTTCCTTAGATCCAGTTTAGTAAGTTGACTAAGTTTGGAGAAATCAAGCATGGAGATATCTCCTTCCAAGTTGTTGGATCCCAAATGCAGTTCTACAAGGTTTGTGCAATTCATCAAAGATGGGGGCAAAGCACCTTCTAAATTGTTGAAATCAAAGGTCACAAACTTCAACTTGGAGAGCTTCCCCAAATTGAGAGGTGGAGGGAATGATTTTCCCCACGAGAATATTCGTCAAAGATTCCTTCGTCTTCTCCGCTTCTCTTTCTCCCTGCAAAACAGATCGGAGTAAAAGGACCACACCCGGGGGGTGTTGGCCAAAGGCCCTCCGATGCCTAAGTTAGGTAAGGTATTTCAAGGAAAACCGGGTGGCCGGAGCCGTGTGTGGTGGCCGGAGCCTTGTGTAGGGGAGAGAAAGAAAGTGGTGGCTAGGGTTTGTGAGAAAATGATTTCTGCAGAGTTTCAGTAGGAATTTAGACGTACCTTCCACCATTGTGTGTGGCTATGCTTTTATAATGGTCTTGGAGGCTAGGGTTTCAGAGGAATAATTCCGTAGATGGAATGGAATTATTCCTCCCCTTTATGGAATTGATTTGATTAATTAGGGATTTGATTTATTAGGGTAAATCAAATCCCTAATTGTGGTAGGTATCAAATCAAATCCTATTTCAATTAGGTAACTCCTCATTTAATTGAGAATCGGGGTAGGAATTAGGAATCAATTCTCAACCCAATTAGGTAGTCTTCAATTTAATTGGGTAACCCCCAATTAAATTGAGTAACTCCCAATTAGGTTTATTAATTCCCAATTAGGTCAAATAATCCCCAAATGGAATGAATTATTTGACCTAGGGTTTTGGCTTAATTTGGTTACCACAAATGCCCCCCAGCTTCTGCATGGCGCGTGGTGGCATGTAGGAGATGTAACTGCTTCGTTGGGTTGTCCAACTGTAACTGGGCTTCCTTCGTGGACCTGGGCTCCTGAGTAGAGGAGGTATTTGACTTGCCAATTTTACGAACTCCTAAGTTGGAAAGAGTTTGCGATTCCTTGTAGGTCAAGGAATTTTGATCCTTATAAATGTGGGGCTCCTCCAATTTATTTTTCACATCAAAAAGTCTATTCCACCAATTTTGTAAGTGAGAGAGAGAGAAACTTTGGAGAGCTTTCCCAGCGTGCTTGAAACTTCATCTTTGCTGTCCATCCAAGGTAATTAGCCTAGAAGAATTTTTGTTTCTGACTTTTAGCATCTTGGTCCGACTTTTGGCAGCAAGGAAGTAGTCCATGCCTTGTGATTGGACTGGGGCATGATTGGAGGTCTGGAAGGCTGGCAGGATCAGGCCTTGCACGTGTTGGGCTCGAAGCAGGGGCATGGAGGCGTTGGACCAAGAGCTGGAGCAAGGGGGGAATTGGGCCATCGCGCGACATGGGCTTGCGCTAGGCAAGCTGGCCACGTGCTCCAATTTGGGGCGGTCTGGCGCATCACTTGGGCCTCGCATGCGGAGCGGGCCTCGCTGGGCGCTCGAGCTGGGCTGGAGACTCGCGCTGGGCTGGAGCCCCGAGTTGGGCTGCGCGCGCTGGGCAGTTCATGCTGGGCTGCTTTTTTTTTTTTTTTTTTTTTCTGCTGCTGTTTTTTTTTTTTTTTTCGACTTGCGAATTTTTCCGGTATTCTAACTTGTAGAATTCTTTCTTTTTTGGCAGCCACTCGTTGACCAACTATGTCTTCCGGGGACGGTAGCAAGGCTCCAAGCTCTCAAGCACCTTTATACTTGTGGGGAGGCTCCTTAGTGCCTAGCAAGAAATTCGTGGCCAACTTGCACCGCGTGACGACCGATGCTCAGTTCCAGAAGTGGCGGGCTGCCTTCACATCTGCCATTCCAGATGACGTGCAGGTCAAGCTACTGAAGTCTTGGGCTGATAGCAAGCCTTTGGTAGATGCGAATGATCCCGGCGCTAGGGTCATTACCTTCCGTCCTTTTTACTTTTCCTTGGGCTTCAAATTCCCACTGTCGAAGCTCTTCAAGGAGGTGTTCTGCGCCATGGAGTGTGCTCCGAGCCAGTGTACTCCCAACGTTTACCGGGCAATCATGTGCTTCGAGAATCTGAGCCGTTTCTTCACTTTGGAGCTGACATTGCGTGAGTTCTTTTATTTTTTCGAGGTGAGGCACTTTGAGCAGTATGCCCAAGTTCGCACCTACAAGACCAAGCTGTTCGACGGTCTCAGTCAGGGAGATCACGCTTGGCATGACGACGTGTTGGAAGTTAGCGGACGGTGGGAAGGCGACGTTCGTGACGGCCCACTTGTTCCCGTGACCTATTGCCCTGGTATGTCTTTTGTGACTTTTGATATGTTCCTTTTTATTTGAATTTCTTAAAGTGTGGTTGACTAACTTCTGTCTTCTGCTTATAGTAAATGACATCAGTAAGCAATTGGAGCTTGGACCAGACATGGCTAAGGTCCGTCGTGCTTTGAACATCCCTCAAAAGTTTCGCGAGTGGCGCTGGCTGTTGAGCGAGTACCGAGAGGTAGATGGTGGTCTGCCCCCTGCCGAGGATGTCGAAAGGTGGAAGCAGAATGGACCTGACCCTGACGATCTGCCTACAGTACAGGAAGAGTGTTCTGCTGAATCTCCACCAAAGAGAAAGGCTGCTAGCAAATCTTCCAGAGGTGAAGCCACTTCTTCGCATGCCAAGAATGGGTCTCCATCGAGGAAGAAGCCAAGGCTCCCTTCTGCTGAGAAGGCTCAAGTGGGGTCTGCTCCGTCATCATCTGCCAGGGTCAAGCATCTCGTGGGTGCAGATAGCACGAAGGTTGGTGGTATGCGCGGTGCTCGGGGTGTTCTGCCCGAGCCTCCTGCCGACACGCTCGAAAACCATGACATGCTTCGTGAGACAGCTCGTGCCCGGCCTAGTTCTGCTGAGCGTCAAAGAGATGTAGACATTCCTCCTCGAAGTTCGAGTCGTCTGCATCGGTCGAAAGATGGAGATCGAAGTGGGAGGTCTGCTTATGATCCAGCTGTTGAACCGTGGGCAGTCAAGCGTGGAGTTGATTCAGTATCATTGACTCCTTTGGAGATGAAGTTGGCGGAGGCTAAGAAGATGAGAGAGTCATCTGCTCGGGCTAAGGGTTCTTCTTCAGCGACGGCGGTTGGACCCAAGGTGGATAAGTCTAACCCTGCGGGGGATGCATGTGTGTCTGATCTGCTCAAGACGAACTTCCTATCGAACCCGTCTCATGTGCTGAGCTGGTTGATCACATTCGTCAGGCAGGCGATCTTGGCACTTTCTCGAGCCTTTCCTTGGAAAAAACAAAGGGAAGCGTCATTCCATCTGATTCAAAAAGGATTGGTTTTTGCTGCAGAGACCATTCGGAACTCATCTGCTGTTGCCCCCTCTTCTGCTCAGCTTAGCGAGCTGGAGAAGAAGAATGCTGAATTGGCCAGCCATCTTGCTGCCGAGCAGGCCCGTTATGAGAAGAAGACGCATGATTTGAGGGCAATGATTTCTGAGCTGAAAAGCTCCCTTACCGAGAAGGATTCTGAGCTCAACTCTCTTGCCACTGATTTAGTTAGTCGCAAAGATGCCTTCTTTAGTCTTGAGCGTAAGAATGCTGACATCTCCCTTAGCCATGACAAGCTCCTGGCTAGATTTCACGCATACCACAAGTCCGCAGAAAAATCCAAGTCTGAAGCCATCATAGACGCGTACAAGTTGGGCTACCTGCACTGTGCGGATGAGGTTACTCCCTTGTATGCGATTGACGATGTAGACATCGAGACACTCTGCCCTGATTCACCCCGTGCAGAAGGAGGAACTGAAGAGCAAGAAGTTGGAGAGGATGGAGGGGAGGTGGACACAGTAGATGAGATGATGGCAGATGAGGCTGCTGAAGGCATAGCTGATCAGGTGGATGCCGAAGAGGCTGCGACTCATAGGTCTCCTGCCGGCGCCTCAGAGTAGATGAAGACTTCTTTATTTCTTTTCAGCTTTTGTAGTTTGCTTTCTTGTTTTGAATAATTGGTCTTTTTTGACCATATTCTTGTTGTTGAACTTGGCCGGTTGGTCATATTGTTATGGAAATTTCAGTTGTTACTCTCAACTTTCAATTTGCATATCGACCTGTGAACTGTTAAGTAATCAGCTTCAGTCTTAATTGCACTTCTTCTTTGGAGATTTATGAGTGACAGGGTTCCCCTTGGGGGGTTCCGAGCGTATTCTGCACATCTCGTATGATGTTTTTCCCTTAGGAAGTTGGCGAGTGCCAGGGTCCCCTTGAGGGACTCCGGGCGTGTTCTGCACATCCCTTAGGATGGTTTCCCTTAGGAAGTGGCGAGTGCCAGGGCCTCCCTTAAGAGGCTCCGGGCGTGTCCTGCACATCCCTTAGGATGGTTTCTTTTAGGAAGTTGGCGAGTGCCAGGGTCCCCCTTGAGGGACTCCGGGCGTGTTCTGCACATCCCTTAGGATGGTTTCCCTTAGGAAGTGGCGAGTGCCAGGGCCTCCCTTAAGAGGCTCCGGGCGTGTCCTGCACATCCCTTAGGATGGTTTCCCTTAGGAAGTTGGCGAGTGCCAGGGTCCCCTTGAGGGACTCCGGGCGTGTCCTGCACATCCCTTAGGATGGTTTCCCTTAGGAAGTTGGCAAGTGCCTGGGCCCCCCTTAAGAGGCTCCGGGCGTGTCCTGCACATCCCTTAGGATGGTTTCCCTTAGGAAGTTGGCGAGTGCCAGGGCCCCCCTTAAGAGGCTCCGGGCGTATTCTGGACATCCCTTAGGATGCCTTGGTCGTCGCCCTGCGTCTCCCGAAGGACGCTGCTTATGGGCAACTGTGTGTCTATCCTGCCTCCCTTAGGAAACGGATAGGAACCTGGATACTTCCCGCAGAAGGCATGGAGACCTCCTTTTAAGAAATTCCTGGCGCACCCTGCGTCTCCCTTAGGACGCTTTTTACGGGCTGCGTCTCCCGAAGGACGCTTTGGTCGTCGCCCTGCGTCTCCCTTAGGACGCTGCTTATGGGCAACTGCGTGTCTATCCTGCCTCCCTTAGGAAACGGATAGGAACCTGGATACTTCCCGCAGAAGGCATGGAGACCTCCTTTTAAGAAATTCCTGGCGCACCCTGCGTCTCCCTTAGGACGCTTTTTACGGGCTGCGTCTCCCGAAGGACGCTTTGGTCGTCGCCCTGCGTCTCCCTTAGGACGCTGCTTATGGGCAACTGCTTGTGTTTTGTAGGCAGATAAGACATTTTGGAATGAGAAACTGAACTTATATTGATATTCATAAGATTACAGTCCTTTATTCGAAAATGAAAATAACTGAGTACAAAACTTGAAACTTCTAGTAGTCATGAGGAAGCATTATGGATAATACTTTCGGAGATGGTGAACATTCCATTGTCGTGGTATTTGCTTCCCATCCATGGTGTCCAATGTGTAGCTTCCTCTGCCCCCGGACCGGCTGATCACATAAGGGCCTTCCCAGTTGGGATTCATCTTTTTCGACCCTTGTCTTGGTGCGGTGATGAAAGCCTTTCTTAGCACGAGGTCGCCTGGTTGAAACTGTCTGACCTTAGCTCTTTTGTCGTAGTACGACTTCAACTGCTGCTGGTAGGAGGCGACTCGGATAATGGTCTTCTCACGTTCGCCCTCAAGTAGGTCAAGGTTGAGCCTCATTTGCTTGGAGTTCTGGTCAACACTGCCCACCTCGAGGTTTATAGAGGGGACTGTGATGTGAGGAGGGATGATTGCTTCCGTCCCATAGGCGAGGGAGAATGGGGTTTCACCAGTTGACCTTCGCTTGGTGGTGCGATAAGCCCATAGTACTCCAGGGAGTTCATCCACCCATTTTCCTTCGGCGCCTTCTAGCCTCTTCTTCAAGCAGTCCAATATGACTTTGTTGGATGCCTCGGCCTGCCCATTTCCTTGTGGATACCTCGGAGTTGACAGGTGTTGTTTGATCTTGTATTTCGCAAAGAAGGCGGTGATATGCTTGCCAATGAACTGTGAGCCATTATCAGTGACCAGCGATTGTGGGCAGCCAAATCGGCATATGATGTTTCTCCAGATGAATCGCTCCACATCGGCTTCTTTAGTAGAGGATAGAGCTTCAGCCTCGATCCATTTAGTGAAGTAGTCGGTGGCGACGATCATCATTTCTTTCTTGGCGGGCGCCGGTGGCAAGGGACCCACTAAGTCGATGGCCCATTGCATGAATGGCCATGGACTGTTTTGCGGATGATAAACTTCGGCAGGCAAATTAGGAATCGGCTTGTACCGTTGGCAACGATCACACTTTTTGACATATTCAGCGGAGTCGTGGCGCATGGTAGGCCAGAAGTAGCCTATGTTTAGAGCCTTCTGGGCGAGTGACCTGCCCCCAGAGTGGTTGCCACACTCGCCGTCGTGAATTTTGCAGAGGACCTCAAGTGTTTGAGGGTATTTTATGCAGGTAAGGTGAGGGCCGGAGTATGATCTGCGGATGAGCTTGTTGTCGTGCATGTAGTATCTCGCGGCCTTCTGCTGGACCTTCCTAGCCTCGGACTTGTCCGCGGGTAGGTTTCCATTCACTAAGTAGTCAATGATGGGGTCTTGCCAGCTGGGGTCTTCGTCAATTCGCATGGTGTCGATTGGCTCTACCTCTTCAATGCTTGGCCGGTCAAGGTGTTCGACTGGGATGGAGCGTCTGAACTGGGTATCCAACGCTGACCCTAGACTGGCTAGCGCATCTGCATGTGCGTTCTCTGCCCGGGGTACTTGTTGGATGGTGAAGGTAGGAAACGCCTTCAACAACTCCTGGACTTTGTCAAGGTACAAGATCATCCTTGGGTGCTTCGCCATGTATTCACCTGACGCTTGATTCGTGATCAGCTGGGAATCTGAGTAATGGCTAGCTTCTTGATTGCGAGTTCCTTTGCCAAGCGCAGGCCGGCGAGCAATGCCTCGTATTCTGCCTCGTTGTTCGAGGCCGGGAATCCAAGCGTGATAGCTTGCTCCAACAAGGTTCCGTCTGGGGTGATGATGACGACACCCGCTCCAGCTCCTTTCTGGTTTGACGCTCCGTCTACCCGCAACTGCCACGTGTCTCTAGGTTGGCTAGGTTCAGCGGGGGTCCTGTCTGCTTTTGAACTTTCCTTCTTTTCGTTGACCATTTTCTCTTCTTCGGCCGATGGGGTGAACTCCGCTACGAAGTCAGCTAAAGCCTGGGCTTTTATTGCAGCTTTTGGCCGGTAGAGGAGGTCATATTGGCTTAGCTCTATAGCCCACTTCATGAGTCGCTGAGAAGCATCAGGGCTATGAAGGATTGATCTCAAAGGAAAGTCGGTCATGACGATGACTCGATGAGCTTGGTAGTAGGGTCGTAGCTTTCTCGCAGAAACTACAAGAGCCAAAATGAGTTTCTCCAATTTTGGGTAACGAGTCTCTGCATCGAGGAGAGCTTTTGACGTGTAGAATACCGGATGTTGGGCCCCCAGCTCTTCTCTGATGAGAGCTGAGCTGACAGCTGAGTTGGACACTGCCAGGTACACGAACAAGTCCTCACCAGGGACTGGCTTTGAAAGCAGGGGAGGTGAAGTGAGATAAGCCTTGAGACTCTGGAAAGCTACTTCGCACTCCTCATCCCATTTGTCTCTTTGTCCTTTCTTCAAAGCTTTGAAGAATGGTTTGCACTTGTCGGTTGATCTTGAGAGGAACCGGTTGAGGGCCGCTGCTCTGCCCGTCAGACTTTGTATTTCCTTCACTGTGGAAGGCGACTTCATCTCTAGAATAGCTTTGATCTGACGTGGGTGTGCCTCGATACCTCGTTGTGTGACTAAGTATCCCAAGAATCGGCCGGAGGATACACCAAATGTGCATTTACTTGGGTTCAACTTCATGCGATACTGGCGGAGCAGGCTGAATGCCTCAGCGAGGTTTTTGAGGTGATCTGCACGTTTTGGGGCCTTGACCAGCATGTCGTCCACGTACACCTCCATAGTTTTGCCGATCTGCTCCTTGAAGATTTTGTTCACCAGTCTTTGGTAGGTTGCTCCGGCGTTTTTCAGCCCAAAAGGCATGACCTTGTAGCAGTAGGTCCCTCTCTCGATGATGAAAGAAGTTTTCGCCTTGTCATCCTCGTGCATCAAGATTTGGTTGTAGCCGGAGTAGGCGTCCATGAAGCTGAGTAGCTGATTGCCAGAAGTGGAATCCACTAGTTGGTCGATTCTTGGCAATGGAAAGTTGTCTTTTGGGCACGCTTTGTTGAGGTCGGTGTAATCGACGCAAACTCTCCACTTTCCCTTCTCTTGTTTTGCCACTAGAACAACATTAGCGAGCCACTCCGAGTAGGAGACCTCTTCAATGAAGCCGGCGGCTAGGAGTTTATCAATCTCGGCTTCGATGATGGCGACCCGCTCGGGTGCGAAGTTGCGCCTCTTCTGCGCCACTGGTTTGCAGGCAGGGTTGACGTGGAGTCGGTGACATATGATGTTCGGGTCGATACCAGGCATGTCTGACGGCGACCATGCGAACATATCTTTGTTGTTCTGGAGGAAAGTGGTAAGTTCCACCTTCTCGTCTGGGCTTAGGCGCGAGCCGATCCGCGCTTTTTTGTCTGGCTGGTCAGGATCCAAGGGTATTAACTCGATGTCCTCCTCGGGCTTCCATCCTTCTTCAGGAAAGACCTCTGGACGGATTTCCTCGGCTTGGTCCTGACGCTTTGATTGCTATAAGATAGCAAGGTTCGATTGTTCCACCTCCTTCAGATCTGCCTGGCTTACTGGGAGGAACTGCGCTTGCTTGCTTTTCTTCAGCCCTTGGGCGGAGCATTTCCTCGCCATTGCCTGATCGCTGTTGATTTGTCCAACACCGCCCCCAGGGATTGGGTACCGAATTTTCTGATGTGTGGCAGAGGTGATGGCGTTGATCATGCCGATCCATGGCCTGCCCAGAATGCCGTTGTAGGGTGAGACCTCATTAATGACCATGAACGTTTGCAAGCAGACTACAGGTGGGGAGTAGACGTCAAGGTCTATTGTGCCCACGGTAACCGTTGTTGCGCCATTGAAGCCGGTCAGCGATCTGGCTGATTTGTTGATCTTTGCCTCCAAGCCCATCTGCTGGATGACAGCCAGTTGCAGGATATTGGCTGCGCTGCCCTCGTCTGCATGGATTCGGTCGACCATGGCCTGAGCGATTTGTATGCTGATGACAAGGGCATCGTTATGTGGCATGTCGAGGCCGATCAGATCTTTCTTTTGGAAGCCGATTATAGGATCGTCTTCTGTTGGTGGAAGGTCAGTCGAGACTTGGGAGATCATAGTGGCCTGTTTGATCTTCCTCTTCTTTTCCTTGCTGGTCAGTCCTGACTCCTTGGCGTCGGCTAGGATTGTGTTAATCCTTATGACCTTCTGGGGCGGTTCCTTGGCGGTGTCTCGATCTTCAATCCGCTGGATGGCCTGCTTCGCGATGAACTCCGTGCAGTGACCCTCTTTCACGAGTTCTTCAAGGTGTGCTTTCCAAGCGAGGCAGTTATTGGTAGTGTGCCCGTGTGTCCCATGGAAGGCACAGTACTTGCTTGTATCCCTCTTGTCTGGATCTCCTTTCAAGGGTGGCGGTCTTCTTACCCAAGGTTTGTTTTTCACTTGGGCTAAGATTTGATGTATGGGGATGGTGAACTTGGTGTAGTTCTCTCCTGCTGTAGCGTCTCCTTGTGGGTGTGACCTGCGCTTATCCTTGTTCTTGTTGCTAAATCCATCGCTTCTTTGACCTGCCCGCTTAGTCGGTTGATCTTCATGCTTAGTAGACTTTTTTGCGGCGATTCGATCGTCATCCCAGAGCGCGTAGCGTTCCGCGGTCGCATAGACCTCTGCCAGAGTCTGGCTGGGAGTGATAGTCAGCTCGCGGTACAAGTCGTGTTCAGCTGGGAGGCCTTTCTTGAAAGCAGATGATGCGATCCGGTCGTCACATCCTACAATGTTGGCCTTTTCTGCTTTGAATCTCTTGATGTAATCTCGAAGGGATTCGTCGGACTTCTTGCGCAGGTTGTACAGGTGGTCAGGGTTCTTCTTGATCGTCCGGTAAGAGGTGTACTCTTTGGTGAAGACGTAAGCCAACTCCTTGAAGCTGTTGATCGACCCAGATGGCAGGGTGTGGAACCAATCTTGGGCTGCTCCTCGCAAGGTCACTACGAATACCTTGCACATCAACGCGTCGTCGGCCTTGTGGAGGATCATGACACTTTTGAAGTGTTTTAGGTGACTCTCGGGATCGGAGTCCCCTTTGAAGTGTGTAAACGAAAGGCGTGGAGAATCGCTTCGGGGGAGCAGCCTGCTCGATTTCGGCAGTGAAAGGTGTGGAGTTTGCCTGGTCGATCTCCTTGCGTAGTGCATCGTCGAGGTTCCCACCAGTCTTCAGATCTCGAAGTCGGTCATTCATAAGCTTCTCAACGTCCTCTATGCACATTGTTGGTCGATCACGTTGGCGACCATCGCGATTCGGGCGACGTTGACTGACCTCCTCCTGGGTCTGCGAGGGTCGACCTTCTCGTCTGCGCTGCCTAGGCGGAGTGTTGGTGGACTGCGCTTGCGAGAGATTCTCCGTAGTTGGTCGACGAGAGCCGTCTCTTTGTGAGTGAGCAGCGGAGCGTCTTTCTTCGCGGTCCTCATTGTGAGGATTATCCGGTTGACCACCCTGGGGACGTAGCCTCTCGTGAATGTTCGTCTGCGAGTGGACAGCCGAGCGTCTTTCTTCACGATCCTCGTTGCGATGGTTGTCTGATTGTCCTCCCTGGGGGCCTAGCCTTTGAAGTACATTTCCCTGCGGTCCCAAGCGGGCGTGGACGTCAAGTCGTGGGCCTAGCCTCTCGCGCATGTTGTTCCTCGAACTTAATCTGCTCCGAGTGGGGCTCGCGGATGCTTGTGACATGTCGGTAGGCCGATCAAGTTGTTGTCCCTCGCCTTGTCTGCCTACTCCTGCTTGACCTGCTGGGTACCCGTTGAGTTGCCTGCCGGTGCGTTCGTCCATCCTTCTCTCTTCGCCTAGTTGTCCAAGGCCAAGGTTTTGAGCCAAGCTGATTTGGTGGAGGAGTTGCCTCATCAGATCGCTTTGGTCGTCCATTCTCTGAGCTAGCTGGTCAACTCTCAGACTAAGGTCTGCTTGACTTCGTGGATCAGGAGGAGAGAAGTGTGTGGAGCCCAATTGCACACGGGCTAGGGTTTCATTGGAGGTGTGCGCGGGAGCGTGTGTCGAGCGTGGAGGCAATGAAGGGATCGCTTGAAGTTGCTCCAAGATCGGGCCTAAGTCAGCGGTGGTAACAAGCCCACCTTGATAGGAGGTTCCACCATGTTCGGCGGCGGTGGCCGGTGCGGTGGTGAGAGGTGGTGGGGCCACCATGTCGATCGCGGGATCGTGGGCGGAGTGGCTTTGGGCCGTCGCGGATTTAGCCATCGCGGCGGTTTTGCCTCTCGTCTTCATGCTTCCAACCATGGTTGTTTGGAAGGCTTCGGTGGATTGGAAAATAGGAGGAACGGATTCCTTGAGCACGCGTTGAGTATAACTCGTGCTCTCAATGAAAGCACCAATTTGGAGGGAATGATTTTCCCCACGAGAATATTCGTCAAAGATTCCTTCGTCTTCTCCGCTTCTCTTTCTCTCTGCAAAACAAATCGGAGTAAAAGGACCACACCCGGGGGGTGTTGGCCAAAGGCCCTCCGATGCCTAAGTTAGGTAAGGTATTTCAAGGAAAACCGGGTGGCCGGAGCCGTGTGTGGTGGCCGGAGCCTTGTGTAAGGGAGAGAAAGAAAGTGGTGGCTAGGGTTTGTGAGAAATGATTTCTGCAGAGTTTCAGTAGGAATTTAGACGTACCTCCACCATTGTGTGTGGCTATGCTTTTATAATGGTCTTGGAGGCTAGGGTTTCAGAGGAATAATTCCGTAGATGGAATGGAATTATTCCTCCCCTTTATGGAATTGATTTGATTAATTAGGGATTTGATTTATTAGGGTAAATCAAATCCCTAATTGTGGTAGGTATCAAATCAAATCCTATTTCAATTAGGTAACTCCTCATTTAAATTGAGAATCGGGGGTAGGAATTAGGAATCAATTCTCAACCCAATTAGGTAGTCTTCAATTTTAAAAAAAAAAAAAAAAAAAAAAAAAAAAAAAAAAAAAAAAAAAAAAAAAAAAAAAAAAAAAAAAAAAAAAAAAAAAAAAAAAAAAAAAAAAAAAAAAAAAAAAAAAAAAAAAAAAAAAAAAAAAAAAAAAAAAAAAAAAAAAAAAAAAAAAAAAAAAAAAAAAAAAAAAAAAAAAAAAAAAAAAAAAAAAAAAAAAAAAAAAAAAAAAAAAAAAAAAAAAAAAAAAAAAAAAAAAAAAAAAAAAAAAAAAAAAAAAAAAAAAAAAAAAAAAAAAAAAAAAAAAAAAAAAAAAAAAAAAAAAAAAAAAAAAAAAAAAAAAAAAAAAAAAAAAAAAAAAAAAAAAAAAAAAAAAAAAAAAAAAAAAAAAAAAAAAAAAAAAAAAAAAAAAAGCGCTCAGCCTCGGCTCATGTGTATCGTGGAATGATCTTGATTGTATGTTGGCTATCGGCTCGCGCTCATTGTGTTAACTAGTGAAACTGTGGTTGGAACTGAAAAGATGAGGTGTTATTCTACATAGCCATAAATTATCTCGCTAGGTTCACAAATGTAAGTAAACATACACGTAAAGAGACTCAAAGCTGAGCAGCAGGGCGCGGGTCGTTCTGCGAGGTTCCTTGGTCCGGCGGGATAGTTGGGTTCGTCGTGTTCGGGGTCTTGTTAGGGGGGTTTTTTTTTTCGTGTCTGTGACATGGTAGAACAGGAATGGAACTATCCCTCACCTCTTATCAACTCCTGCAATAACCATGCTAGTAGATTACAGTAGGAAGCATACGAAAACGAGAAAAATAAGGAAAACCATAAATCCTAGAAAACCGTATAAGGAGGTAAACACCTAACATAAAACTACTTTGTCCCTACCCCCTTGTTTAATTCGGTGATATTTTGTTGCTTCCTTGATAGTACTTTTGGATGAGATAGCTTTTTGTGTTTTTGGAGGAGTTGTATTTGGCATTTGCCTAGCAAGTAGAGGTATCAAATGGACTGGATTGTTTGATCACAATATGAGTGTGGCCCGATTAAATAAGGCCAACACAGGCAGGCCTGTATATTGGATAGGTCGAGATGGGACAATTTGGCTTAATGGGCAAGGCCGGTCAAGGCCCATAGGCCGTGCCAACCCCCAGCCCCAATGAGCCAGACCATTTAAAGCCATTTTATTAAATTATAATTGTTTAGGGAAAAATAAAATCAAACTTTTCCTTAGGCTTTATAAGCAAAAGAGTTATTTACACTAACAACCCTTAAGTTTATTGTGTTTTCACAAAACCCTTTCAGGTCTCAAAAATTACACAAACACCTCCAGAGGTTTCAGTTTGTTAAAAAAAATTGGTGATTTTATTGAAAAGAACTTATGCAAATGACAAAATTATATGCAATCTAATCTCAAAGGCCAACTTCGTCATTTGGACAATTTTTTTTTCTGGGTATAAAATCATCAGTTTTTGGATGAAAAATCAATAAAAATGAGTTTTGTGATAGCAATTTAAAACCTCAGGGGTGTTCTTATATTTTCTAAAATCTCAAGGAGTTTTGTAAAAAAATCGAAAACCTCAAAACAGCCTGCTGGGATTGGATACAAGTGGTGGAATTGATGGGCTTGGCTTGGATACAAATCGAAAATAATTTGATAATTTTTTCATTTTTAAGAGCATAATTCAAATGAAATGATGTGTTATATAAACAAAATATCCAAAGCCGTGAAAGTAAATTTTTTGTGTTGTTTTTTTTTCCAATTTGGGCATTCTTAATAATAAAAAATCATATTTTTTCTACATACACTACTACATTTTAGGCTTTGCGCGACGAAGGAATGTTCGTCGCACAAACATGATTTTAGTCGCACATAATTATGCGCGAAAGAAGTTTCGTCGCGCAGAATCCGTCGCGCAAAGATCGTGAAGAAAGACTTTGCGCGACGAATTTATGACCTTCATTGTGCAAAAGAGTGTGACGTAGCACCTTCGTTACAAAAAAATGTTTCGGGACGACCCAAATGTCCGAGGCACAAACGTTTGTGCGACGAAAGGCTATTCGTCGCACCAAGAATGCTCGACGGAGTTCTTCGTCGCTCGAGATACGTGAAATTTGCGTGACGAAAACACCTTCGTCGCGCTATTAGTCTTTGCACGACGAAAAACGTCGTCGTGCATACGAATTTCGTTCGACGAAACTATTCGTCGCGCATACACGTTTCGTGCAACGAAACTCTTCGTGCGAGCAAATGATTAAATGAAGTTTTTTAAATATTTTTTTTTAACAAAAATTTAAAAAAAAAAAAAAAAAAAAAAAAATTTTGCATGACGATATACATTTCGTCGCGCAAAATAATATATATTATATATAATAAAAAATTAATATTATTTGTTTTTAAATTTTGGAAAAAAATAAATTTGGTTTTGTTTAAATTAAAATGAAATTGCAATAAAAAGATTAATCGTAAAGAAAACCTTATTATATAAAATAAAATAAATGTATACAAGAGAAATATTTTAAAAGTAATTATAAAAATAAAAAACTAATCAAATAATGTTCCAAAATCTACTTGGTCATCTGCCACATGCGGCTCGGAGGTCTGGGCGTCTACAGGGGCTGTGGTCTGTTGGGGATGCTCGGGGTGGACGGGCTCGGAGGTCGGCACACCAAAATTCGGGATTGGAATGCCGGACCGCGCGAGGGACTGCAGAATCACCGACATCTGACCCTCAAGCTCGGCAACCCGCGATGTCAAAACAGTCACCTGACTGTTTGCCTGCGACGATGACCGCGGTCGAGGTTCCCTTTGTCGGGCATTCCCCATCCCCCTACAATATGTTCCCGGCCTCCTCCCGAGAGTCTGATCCAACGTCTGCGTCAAAATCTGAAATCCAGCATCCTGTGGAGGATCCACAGACTCGATCGGAGTCTCGGGAGGAAGTTGGGAGGCGGACTCTGAAGAACCAACTGGCTCCTCTCCACCATCGTCGTCTGTTTAACATTACATAAAATATAAATTCAAAAATGCATATAAATTGAAAGCGTAACATAAGAATTAAAATTACATAATACTTACATGAAGGGACTCGGCCAACTCATTCCCAGGTCGAACATAAACGTCACCAAAGACGTCGATCTCTGGGAATTTCGACCCCCCCTTAATTGAACAAGAGAAGGAAAATATTAGTATGAACAAAATAAATTAATAATAATGACGTATTAAAAATTAAATATAAATTATATTATTCTTACCCGACGCCGTGCATCCATCCTATATGAGAAGGGCCTGGAGCCGGAATGGTGGAGAAGAGTCTTCTTCTTCCTATTGCCCTTATTCACTTGGGCTTTATTCTGTTATACAAAAAATAAAACGTATTAGTTGAAATATAAATAAATTAAATAATAATGAAATATAAAAAATAAATAAACATTAATAAGAAATATTAATAATTAAAAAAATACCACATAATCGGGCGCCTGAAAATGAGCGCAGAGCCACGCCCAACTATCCTCCCGCCCCTCAAGCTCCTTCGGGCAACCCTCCTGAAGAGCGACTTGCGGATCATCAAACGCCTGAAAATGGTGGTGCAAAGTCGCTCTTCCACTGCTTGTACCTCTCACCGAAGAGTCTGTTGACGTACGCCAAGATCTCCTCGTTGAGGTCCTCTAAGTGGTAGTTCGTCTGCAATAAATTAATTACATACATTAAGTAATAGAAATATATAAAGTTTGAAAGAAAAATAATTAAAAGATAGGAAACATACCGACAACTGGCCGCGAACTTGCATCTTGATCTCGTCAGGCATGACCTTCCAAGACTTCCATTGCATCGGGCAATGGGTCCGAAACGACGTGGCCAATGTCGTGGGCCAAGGAGCTATGCAAGTCCGCCGTCGGTGCAGCCCGATGGCGCTCGTCATATCCGATGCTGATACGATTGTTGGTCACCGGGTGACCTTCGCCGTCTTCAGCTGCCGACACGGCCCTCGGGTGTTCCTCTTGGCTGCAAAGGGATAGGACAATACTGTTAAATAAATAACAAAATTTAACCATAAAAAAAAAAATGAAAGTGGAAGGGTATATATACCTGGTGGTGCCCCCGAGGCACCAGTACCGTTGGTCGATGTGGTGTCGGTGGTGCTCCATCAGTGCTGGAGCAGTGGCAGCTGATGCCGGCTGAGCCGGGGCTCCAAACTCAGTGTAGTCGTCACCACCCTACGACGTCTAATCAAGTCTGACATCTGCACAATTTCATTAATACACATACAAATTAATCAAATTTAGCACATACAATGTCATTAAAAATTGAACTAATTAATTAAAATCATAGTTTGACCTAGCGTTTGCAATTTCGGAGTATCCGGGACTCCGATCCACGATCCGTCGAATCCTAAACAATCCTCTAAATACATGGTACCACATATGTGAGTTTGAGCTTGATCCAAAGGTCTGAACATATCAAACCCGGAAATCGCACCATAGGCAAAATCCGTTCGAGACTCAAACGGTAACCAAATTCCAATCCGAGCACACCTATGCGCTCATGACAACGAAGGGATTGCACTGGGACTCAATGCCCAATGCTACAGTACCCCACGCGCCACCACAAGCGCCGGCAGCGCATGGGTGCCCAAAGCGATAACAATCGTCGGAAAATCCTAAAAATTAAGGGCCAAGGTTCCTACCCTAGGTTCAAAACATCAATTGGAGGCACTTTTGTTCTCGGACCTACCCCAAAAAACGGCCAGAAGTGGCCGGAATTTCAATTTAAATCCTACCCAACTATCAGCTAAAGCATAAAAAATAGTCGAGAAAGCATACCTCAATTGCCGGATTTGGTGCCCGGAGGAGAGAGAACAACGGCGGCGAAGATTTGGCTTAAACGGAGGAAATCACGGCGGCAGGATGGATGGCGACGGCGGGGAAGCTCCGGGGTTCGATGGTTGTGGCGGCCGGGCCTGAATTGGAGTGGAATAGGGGCCGAGGTCATGGCGGAGAGAGAGAGAGGTTTTAGGGCGGATTTGAGAAACTGGGGAAGAAGGAGAAGATCGTGAGTTTCAGAAAACTTATTCGACTTTGCGCGACGAATAATTTATTTCGTCGCGCAATGTTGCCATCTCAGCCAAAATTTGGGATTAGTGTTTTAGGGTTTGCACATTTTGCGCGACGGAAGAGTTTCCTATGTTGCGCAAGGTTTTGAAATTATCTACTTTGCACGACGGAAAGTACTTGTTTCGTCGCGCAAGTTTGTCCATCCGCCCAAATTTTGGGATTCGATTTTGCGCGGGGAGATAAATGAAATGATATTGCACGACGAAAGTGTTGGGGCGGAGAGGGGCTGAAATTCTTACTCAGATTGCGCGACGAAATTGACTCTGTCTGTAACCTTTGCACGACGAATACTTGGTCCTTTCGTCGCGCAAGCTCTGATTTGCCAAATTTTTTTTACTAAGTGTTGGGGTGGAGAGGGGCTGAAATTCTTCCTTAGATTGCGCGACGAAAGAGAATTAGGTTCGTCGCGCAAGACTCTTTGTGTAACCTTTGCCCGATGAATACTTGGTCCTTTCGTCGCGCAAACTCTCTGATTTGCCACCACATTTTACTAAGTGTTTTGTGTGTGCCTTTGTTATGAGGGAGAATGCGTGACGAAAGGAAAGGTGTTTCGTCACGCAAGACTTTTCTGTGCACTTTGCGTGACAAATATATAGTAGTTTTGTCGCGCAAACCCATACCTTTATACCCTAAACCCTAAAACCTATACCCTAAACCCTAACTCCTAAACTAGTTTCAATGTTCCAATCGGCAATCTTGTTTTTTTATAGTTCGAGATCGTATACGTCGAAAATCGGAATAAATGAACATTCAGAGATTGAGTAACGGGACAAAACTTTTCGACGGTTTTAAACAAAAAGTCACGATTCAACGGTGATTTTAACCCGATTTTGAAATTTTTTTACAGCTGGATTTCTTGACCCTATATGAATACAGAGACTGAATTCGATCCTCAATTTCAGATATTTACAGTACGGGACATCACATAATCTTATGTTATATTGAAGGAAAGTATAAACAAATTCTTCATTTTTGGTGAATATGGTGTTTTGATGGCATACGCATTCTACCCAACTAGTTTCAGTAATCCAGCCGTCAAACTTGTTTGTTTATACTTCGAGATCGTATACGTCGAAAATTGGAAAAAAAAAACATTCAGAGATCAAGTAACGGGGCAAAACTTTTCGACGGTTATAAACGAAAAGTCATGATTTAACGGTTATTTTGACTCCGATTTTGATGATTTTTTACAGCTACACTCTTTGACCCTATATGAATACAATGAACTACTTCGATCGTCAATTTCAAATATATACGTGTGTATATATCAAAAATATATATATGTTTGCGCGACGAGAGATCTTGCTTCGTCGCGCAAAATGTAATTGCGCGACGGAAACATTTGTCGCGGAAAATTTGAAGTGTGCGCGACGCATATCTTCTCCGTTGCGCAAAATCCGCGCGACGATGGTTTCTTCGTAGCGCAAGGTTATTTTCATTTACATATAATTAAACTAAATTATTGATCATTCCATATAATTAATTGTATGAAAGTATGATTTATTCTATTCTCTTTTGATTTGAGAATTGAAGGATTTTTTATTTTGTGAGTTCAAATCAAAGAAAGTTTTTTGGTCTATCTTGTTTTTTTTTCTTTTCATTTTTTCTCTTCTTTGAATAATAACATATTTATAATAGTTAAATAATGATCAATAATTCAGTTTTATAAATATATAGTTATATATATTTTATTACGTAGTAAATAAATAAATTACTAAATAGTAAATGATCAATAACAAACCTCTTGATATAACAAGAAATTTATTATTGCTCCTTTACTTTCTTCCGTGAAATTGGTTAACTGGTGTAGGGGCTTTTTTTCTTCCGGCAGCAAGTGGGCTGGGCTGCTGTAAAGAGCAATCTGATGCAAGTGTCCCCTTGTGTCTGAGTTCGAAGATCAAGCCCCAAGGATGTCTCGAAAGGGTGATGATGCCTTAGGAAACTCCTTGGTTACCTTCACCAATGAAAATGACAACAAATTACCGATAAATATTCTAGCTTGGCATGAGTGACTCATGGCTTGGGAGCAAAAATTATCATGGGTTTAGCACTTTAGGAGAGAGAGATGTGGGTTCCTATGAGGTACAGAGGTTCTAATGGAGAGGGAGAGAGGTTCTAAGGAGGTTTGATGAAGAGGGAGAAGGATGGTGAAGAGTTTTGGGTGACTTTCGCAGTTTCCGGCAGCTTGACAGTGACTCTGTCAAAGCTTCTGTCAATATGCCAAAACAGGGGAAATAAAGGAAAATGAGGAAGGATAGCACGAAAATTCTTGGGTTTGCATGTGAGAGAGAAAGCTTGCTCTCTGAAGGTTGTGGGTTGTGTTGTGTTAGGTAGAAGGGGTCCTATTTATAGCTGCTGGGAATGGGTCTTCTCCAAGAAACCCTAATGGTTTCTTTCCAATCTAGCTAAGCTTTCCTCTTCCTTTCTTCTCCTCTTGCTTGACTTACCTCATGGAGGCAAAAATCAGTTCTGCCCAATCCCACAAAATCAGGGATTTTTGGGAGCTCGAGGCTTCAACAGCTTCAGAGGAGAGCTTCCATTTTCACCCATCTTCTCTCTCTTCTTTCCTCCTCTTTTCACGGCCAAATCTGATGAAGGAAAGAAAATGGGTGCGCCTGCTGGTTTAAGGGATAGCATCTTCCCCTGCGTGCCAATACCCCTTGGTTTCTTGAATGCTTGCACTTGGAACTTGTTCTCCCAGCAGCCCCTCACATGTGAATCTTTGGCTTTCTTCGTGGACTTCTGCTTCAGCCAAGTTCTGAAAGCCTTGGACTCCTTTTATTCAAATGGTATGGGCCCTTTAATATAGAAGGCCAAGTCATCTAATAAGTGGGTTAAATTCACCAAGTATTTGGGCTTTATGGGCTATCTAAAGTAATGGGTTATTTTGGTTGGGCTACTCTAGTTGAAGCAATTGGGTTATTTCCTCTCTTGTGCTTACCCACGTTTGAGCCTAAGAAAATGGGCTTGAGTCCCGAGGCCCCCAAGCGACCCGAGACTTCCATTTCTCGGCCCATCAATGGGCCCCATGACAATTCGTTACCATCCATACCCCAAAAAAAAAAAAAAAAAAAAAAAAAAAAAAAAAAAAAAAAAAAAAAAAAAAAAAAAAAAAAAAAAAAAAAAAAAAAAAAAAAAAAAAAAAAAAAAAAAAAAAAAAAAAAAAAAAAAAAAAAAAAAAAAAAAAAAAAAAAAAAAAAAAAAAAAAAAAAAAAAAAAAAAAAAAAAAAAAAAAAAAAAAAAAAAAAAAAAAAAAAAAAAAAAAAAAAAAAAAAAAAAAAAAAAAAAAAAAAAAAAAAAAAAAAAAAAAAAAAAAAAAAAAAAAAAAAAAAAAAAAAAAAAAAAAAAAAAAAAAAAAAAAAAAAAAAAAAAAAAAAAAAAAAAAAAAAAAAAAAAAAAAAAAAAAAAAAAAAAAAAAAAAAAAAAAAAAAAAAAAAAAAAAATTTGGTAATTAACAAATTGTTTCTTTTCTTCTTTGCGGGGTCCGTACCGACCCTCTTGTCTCGTAGTTACGGAAGAGAGAGACTGCCGAGGCTAAGGTGAACGAGTCCTCCAAGCGCCGTTTCATGATTGGCTTCCAGGGGCAGAGAAGAACCAGCCCAGGGCGTCGGCATCGTAGAACCCAGTCGGACCGACTCGTGGCCTGACCGTTCCCCCTCCGTCATCTCAACGCCGATTCTCACAGGCCGTGCGCCAAGCGGTCGACCCCTCCCTCGCCGAGCGCCACTACCGAATGGACTTCCTCCCAAGCTTGCCCGCAAACGCCCCTTTACCGTTGACCTAGGAGTTCCGAACCGGCCCCAAAGCGCGGGACGGCAGGCCGAGCCTTACTCGGTCCATCTTCGCTTGGCTGCTGACACGACGAGGAGCCCTGCCGTTCCCCCCCCCCCCCCCCCAGTTCAACCCCTGGCCTTTCCCCGCCGAAACCGGTCCCGTTTTTGCGAACCATATGATCCTTGGTTTTTGCAAATGGAGCTGATGATCGAGGAGGCGTGCGAGAAGCTCCCCCCGAGAAGGAGCTTGTTCGCGCTTTCCGTCTTCCCAGCTCGGTAAGTCCCCGAGTTACATTCCAGGTTCCCTACCGATCGGTTGATAATGATAGTGAAATTATCCTTTGGGGCATGACGTGCCTTTTTTTTCGGAATGCTGGTCTGATGTACGCTGTGTCCTTTTGCATGAAGCGGGGCCCTCAACCGTACTGCGAGGTAAGTGCTAATAAATGCCCTATGAAAACGGGGCGGCCCAGGTTTCGGGGCCGTTTTGGGCATTCTTATCCAAGGACCAGGTGCAACCCGGCGTGCGTGATTGGTGCGGCTTCGCTAACGGCAGGTCCCCTGGTTATATATGCCCACGTTCGCAGATCTGGTGTCGGTGGGGGGCGAGCCCCTAGGTAGATTCCCGCCATCTTACGTCAAAATACTCTCGGAGGCGAATGAAGCGGTTGAGGGGGGGTTGGCGTCGTGTGCGGGTGGTGAGGTTCCCGAGCGGGCCAAGCCGTCCGGAGATTGAGGCTCCCGTGTCCAGGAGCCCTTCCAGATATCGCTGGGCGAACTCTCCCGATTGGGGTCTCCTGCTCTGTTGGGCGTGGGGTGGACAATTGACACTGGTGGCTCGAGATGGTTTATAACTATCTATCTCCCGACACACAGGCGGTGTAACAACCATAGAGAGAAAAACTTCAGGTGTACCGATGGGACCCTCCGTCCCCTCGTTTAGGGGGTGGGGGCCCGACGCATTGTACAGAACAAGTGTATTAAACATTGGGATTGAACCACGAGGTTAAACCGCTCGAAGACACAGACCGGTAACAAAAAAGAAGCAAACACTGTCTTGAAACAATGCCACCGCACGCGGCTAGCGATCCGGGAGGCGCCACCTAGAAAAACCCTTAAAATCATACCATGAGCTGCGCCGACAACGTGGAAAATATTTATTTTGATTTGAATTTTGATGGTCAACCAACGCAGTTTCAAGGGGTGGGTTAAGGCGTGTGCCAAGCGCTTGGAGGCCCGGAATGGGCAGCGTATTGGTTTGGATATGGATGCCGGGGGCACTGTTTTTATTAAAGGGGTGGTTTGATTTTATTTTTTGCATCTTACCTGAATCGAATGGACTTAAATGTCTTTTTAATGCCGAAGGCTCTCAAACAAAAGTCCATGCCGTTGGGCATAAGGTGTCCTTCCACGCAAAAAGTTCAAGTGTAGGGAATTTGAACCCCATGGCCGGCTTGGCGATGGCAAGCAAACGCCCCTTACTTACCGAAGCCTATTAAGGCATAAAGCTACCAAAGTGTCCCTATCGGTAGGAGCATGCGATGCCAAAATGTGTATTTTCTGCGCCGATGTCCCTACCATCTCCTTTTTTGAACAAAAAATGGGAGTTTGAAGGTACAACAAAGGTTTCTGAAACTATATGAACCGAAGCCCCTTTCATTGATAAACTTCCGAACGGCAAAAGTACCATTTGGAAGTTGCGTTTTTAACAATGTTAGAACCCGCCGTTGCCTAGGAAACCTACAATCCAAAGGGGGGGGGGCTGTTCTTGGTAGAATGCCCGAAGGCCTTTTTTGGGACCTTCCTGTGACCCTGCCGTAGGCCAGATTGACTTCCCATTTGAAATATACTTTCAAATGCTCTAACATCCCCAGGTGGCCGGTGGTCCTTTTTCCGTTGAGTCCCTGAGTCCGATAGTCCCCGATCACTGGATCCGAGATTTCGTAGGGTCCCCCTCCCCAGTAAGGGTTCCCGAGGGTTCCTGTCCGTCGGATTCTTGTTTCCCCAAGAGACTTTTCCGCCTGACCCATCTCCGATTTCGAAATAGCGGGATCTGAACCCCTGATGTGGGTCGTGTCAGTGGCGTACCGGATAGACTGCGTATAGTTGTAACGGTGATAGCTCTAGTCGGTTTCCGAAGTTGCTTGGGGTTCGTCGTCGTTCTTCGAGCAAGTTCCCCGAGCTCAAGCACGCGCCTCCTCTTCCCGCCTTCGTTGCGCAAGGTTTTCCGTTCGGTAGGAAGGCTCTCCGATGGGGGTTCGCTACTAGACTCGTGCACGGGCGGGGGCGGGGGGGGGAGGGGGGGAGGGCAATCTGAGCTGTAAAATCCATAGAGAATGGTGATTTTCCCCATGCCGTGTGCATACATAGTGATTCCCGGATTGGCGCCGCAAGCACCTCTGGAAGCTTTTTCCGGCCAGGCTCCTTTAGCTCTGTCCCAAGCTGGCAGTTATTCAAAAACCACACTGGCCGTCGTTGGTGAGGCATTGTCTTGCAATGGGCTGGATAGGAAAAAAAAAGAAAGCGGGGGGGCGGGACCTGGCCCGTGTCGTGATTAGGGGTGTTGGCTGGCGAGCAAAGAACGGGGTTGATCTTGAGTCGGGTGCAGCATTCCCTAAAGGACTTCCGGCATCAACTGCCGCCGTTAATCCCGGACGATGAACGGAAGGGAACTGGGGCCAAAGAAGCGGCCAAAGCACATGTTCATCCAGATGACAAATTCTTCGACTTCTGGGCTCAGTTATTGTCGCTATGGCTTTGCTTCTACCCATTTGGTGAAGTCATTCTACGCAACGCGGCAGTCGTATTTTGACGGACTGTCCCTGGGGGGGGGGGGGTGCCCAAATCAAAAATCAGATACACTTTAGGCCCATTAGATGCTATCCCCGCCGTGTGGGCCGGGGGGAGGGCGGGTGCTCGAGGGGGATGACGGGGTGCGGGGGTCGTGAGCCGAATCTGGACTGAGGAGCATGACAGAACACGCTGGCGGTAGAGACTGCCGGAAGTGGTGCGGAGGGACACTAACGCCAGAACCACTGCTTTTGTCCAGACCCTCCGTGACTAATTGTTCGCATCACAATAATAAGAAACAGTCGGAAGCCCCAGAAATAAAACCCTGTGCTGAGAAGACCTTGTTCTGGCGTGCGGGATCCGGTACACCGAGCCTGGGGTGTCGTACCTCGGGGGGGAAGTAATTCCACTACGTGGAGGGCCACAGAAAAGGATGTATCCCGTTCTCCTTGTGGTCGAGCATTATTAGATACGCGTTCGTGGTAGCCTCAAGCTTTCTACAACAAAACAGCACCGGCCCGTTGTATGACTTTGTGTAGCTGCACGATCGTCATAACCGAGTACTTCCAAAAATGAAAATACAAAAACATTGGGACTTTAAACGTCAGACCAAAGGGTGTCCGAAAAGTATTGGTCCAGGACTAACCAATAAGTAATGGGGTGCCGCGAGGGCGGCATTTGTCTTGGATACGTACCGTAGACGGTACGCCCCTCCACGGCGGTGTGGTGTGCCTCCGCGCTGGGGTACACATAATCTCCAGCGGTACCACACACGAAACAGAGAGTCCCACGCCAAAAACCAGTGTTGGGTGAAAACATGTATAGTCATTATATATTGCCAGATGTCTCCGACCAATCAGTAAGACGGCACGTGTCGTCGTGCTTGTGAGCGGCCTGGCAAGTAAAAAATTATCTGACAAACCAAGGGTAATCCTGCCCCGTAGCTCGTAGTGCCTGGCACATTTTTTCTAAAATGGTCGTTTGGGTTATCTGACCGAGAGGTTAAAGCCTACAGATGAGCAGCCTTCTGCTTACGAAGTCTGCCGTAGGCATATGGTCGACCCATTAGCTGGACACACACACGCACTGTGTCGCAGAATGTCCAGATTGCTGCGTCGCGCTCATGCGCCCTTAAAAAAAAAAGCGTAACCACGAAGCCACCACTATAGAGGGCCTCAATAGGCGGCATGGGGACACCAATCGTTTTGGAGGGCCCGGAAGTTGAATCGGGCCATCCATGACATAACTCATAACTCATTTTGCCTATGGCCGGAGTGGTTACACCAACCCGACGCCACAGCCTTGCTGGTTTGCCCGGCCCATCCACATTGCAGGAATCCGAGAGGGAAAAAGTGTCCGAAACGTTCGGTATCCTTTTATCTGGTGCAAGAGGAATGGCGCTTGCGGATGGCTCCGATATATCGCAAGGGAGGTGTGAGCTCGGAGATGAAGTCGGCAACGGCTTGGCCTTTTTCTGCAGGCCTCGCTTGAACTGTATGTCAATTCTCCCAACTCGATTGCCCATTTGACCAATCGCCCAGATGTTTCCGGCTTTTGGAGCACCTGCCAAAGAGGCTGGTTCGTCAGAACTGTGATTTCGTGAGCCTGGAAGTAAGGGCGAAGTCTTCGCGCCGAGACGACCAGGGCCAGTGCTAGCTGCTCCAAGGGTGGGTACCGAAGCTCTGCGCTCTGGAGCGCCTTGCTGACATAAAAGATCGGTAGCTCCGCCTTCTCCGGCTTCCTTATCAACACTGAGCTAACGGCAGTGTTGGATACCGAAAGGTATAGGAGTAGTACCTCGCCTGGCAGCGGTTTTGATAACAGTGGTGCCTGGCTCATGTAGTTCTTCAAGTTTTGAAATGCTTGGTCGCATTCGGGAGTCCATGTTATATGATGTTTGCCCCCTTTCAAAGCTTTGAAGAACGGCACGCATTTATCGGTAGCCTTGGAGATGAAGCGTGTCAGGGCAGCGACACGTCCGGTAAGGCTCTGAATGTCCTTCTGCGTCTTCGGCGTCTCCATGTCGATTATGGCTTTTATTTTCTCGGGATTGGCCTCGATTCCCCTTTGACTGATCATGAACCCGAGAAATTTACCGGAAGATACACCGAAGGCGCACTTCGCCGGGTTCAGCCTCATTCGGTAGTCCTTTAGAATACCGAACATGAGGGCCAAGTTTTCCAGGTGATCCCCTGCCGTTCGGCTTTTTACCAACATGTCGTCGACATATACCTCCATGATGCCGCCGATGTATTTAGCAAAAATCGGTTGACGAGCCGTTGGTAAGTTGCCCCCGCGTTCTTCAGGCCGAAGGGCATGACATTGTAACAGTACAAACCGCGATCCGTGATGAATGCCGTATGTTCTCTATCGGCAGGGTCCATGAAGATCTGGTTGTATCCTGAATACGCGTCCATGAAGCTGAGCAGCTCGTGCCCGGCGGTGGCATCGACGAGCTGGTCGATCCTCGGTAAGGGGAAACTGTCCTTCGGACAAGCCTTATTCAGGTCGGTATAGTCCTGACACATCCGCCATCCTCCCCTGGCCTTCCGAACCATGACTGAGTTGGCAAGCCAAACAGGGTACGTAGCTTCCCTGATAAAGCCGATGGCTTTGAGCTTGTCAACTTCGGCACGCATTGCCTCGTACCGTTCGGCATCGTACGATCGGCGCTTTTGCCTGACCGGTTTGTGGGCGGTGGAGATGCTGAGCTTGTGGCTGATGACATCAGGTGATATGCCGGGCATATCGTCATAAGACCAGGCGAAGACTTCCGCATGCTGCCGTAAGAAGTCGATGAACTGTCTTCGGAGGTCGGGATCCAGATTGGTGCCGATCTTCACCCACCGATCGGGGAATTCCTCGTTCAGGATTATGGTCTCGAGCTCCTCGGCGGGCTGTGCCATCGGCGTTGGGTTTTCCTCCCTGGGGGTCGTCAATGAGTTCGCTACCGTTCGGTAGTCCCTGAAGGTCATGGCTTCCATTGGCGGTTTGCTGGCTACCGACTTAAGGGCCGTGGCATAGCACGTCCGTGCGCTGAGCTGATCACCCCGGATGACTCCGGTACCGTTGCGTGTCGGGAACTTCATCAGCAACATGTGTGGGGATAGGTGGGCTTTGACCCTGGTGAGTGCCGTTCGCCCTATGATGACGTTGTATGCCGTTGGGCAATCAACAATGAGGAATTGATCGTAGGTCATGGTTTTCCTGGGGGCGACGCCGAAGGCGATGGGCAGACTGATGCTACCGACTGGTTGGACCAGATCTCCAGAAAAACTGAGGAGAGGCGTGATTTGCCGATTGACCATGCTGTCGGCAATCCCCAGTCCCTTGAACGCATCGGCAAAGATCACGTTCACCGAGCTTCCGGTGTCAATCAGCACCCGACCCACATCGTAATCGGCGATCTCGGCCCGAATGATCATTGGGTCGTCGTGGGGGTAGATGATCCCCTCCTCCTCTTCTTCACAAAATGTGATGGGCTCCCATCCCACCTTCGGCAGCTTTCGGCACCGATCGTCCTCTATGCCGAAGACCTGAGGGCAGTGGGCGGCACGCACATACTGCTTCATCGAACGGTTAGAGGGTCCCGCCAGGGTGGGGCCGCCGCTGATCGTGTTGATCATGTTGATCTGCCGATTCGCGTTCGGTGCGGGGGCCTGTGGTGGCCTGGCGAGGTACTGATCCAACTTTCCTTCCCGAATCAGACGCTCGACAATTTTCCTCAGACTGATGCAGTCTTCGGTATTGTGGCTGTTCTGCTGGTGATATCGGCAGAATTTGCCAGTGTCCCGATTATCCTGCCGATTGGGCTTTCGGTTGGTTGGCTTCGGGATCTGGTCATGTTCGTTCATTAGAACGGTTTCGTACGTCGTGTTCAGCAGGGTGAAGACTTCCTGAGCACGATCGTGATTCGGTAGGGGCGCCCGGTGGTCGTTACGACCGTACTTCCCACGTCCTTTCTTTGAGTTTCCCTGACGGCTATCACGGTCGTCCTTCCGTTTGTGTCCTGCCGACGAGTCGTCGGTTCGCCCTGGATAACTTTTGGTGGCCGATTCCTCCTTCCGAGCCGAAGGCCCGGGTTTGGAGTTGAAGTATTCGGCCTTCGCATGGACTGCCGCCTGCTTCATTAATTCGTCATACGTGCGCCAGTTGCTACTGTGCACGAGGTACCGGAAGTGAGAGGACCGTAGGCCACTCTTGAAGGCGCCGTAGGCTGCCCTATCGTCCGTTTCGGGACACCTCGAGTACTCGTGACTGAAGCGCGCTGCGTATTCCCGTAAGGGTTCGTCCTCCCTTTGCCGAATCGTGTACAGATCGTCGGCAGAGTACAAACGGTCCGTCTGGATCATGAAGTGGTTGAGGAAAATCTGCTTCAGTTCGTCAAAGGAGTCTACCGTCCCTGGTTCGAGACGGTAGAACCAGTTCAGCGCAGCTCCGGTAAGGGACGAGGGAAACAGCAGACATTGTCCCTCGTCGCCGAGGCCCTTACACCCAACTGCCGATTGGAAGGAGTGAAGGTGCGTCAGAGGGTCCTCCACACCGGTATAGAAGGGTATGCGCAACGGCTGCACCTCCCTGTCCGGTCTGGACCTCTTGATGCGCTCGGTAAATGGTCCCGGCCGAAGTTTTCCCCAGTCAGGGACCTGGGATCGGGTTCGGTCTTCCTCCATCTTCTGGATTCTTTGGAAAAGTAATCGGATGGCGGGGTCTCGGCTGGGGACGTCCTCGGAACCAAAGTCTTCGGAAGTTTTCCTCGGACTTGGTGATCTCGCCTTCGAGTACTCCGGGGGAGCTTCCGAACGGTAGCTTGATTCGGTGCCCCTGGTGGGGATGTACTCATCATCGGATTCCAGCGCCGAATCCAAACCCTGAGCCCTCCGAAGGGGCGATTTATCCCCCAAGACCCTCATCCGGGAGTCCCTCAAGTGGGCGTTTACTCTGATTGGGGACCTATGCCGTTCGGCATCCTTCTTGTCGTTGATCCGATGACGACAATCGGTGTACACCTTCTTCGGTACGTGAGGTTGGTCCTGGGGTGCCGGGACCACCAGCTGCTTGGAGGGCGCAGGCGTTGCCTTTGCCCCCTGTTTTCCCTTCCTCTGCCGACCGGGGGTCTGCTGACTCTGGGAAGATTCGGTGGTCCGAACGTTTTGTGTTTCCTGCTGATTAAGCAACCGTTGGGTTTCGTCTACTTTGGACGAAAGGAGATTGTTACGTTCTTGGAGTTTAGCCATCTCCTTCGGAGGGAGGTCATCTGAGCCAGAAGCTCCGCTTCGACCGTGGTCTGAAGCGCAGGAGGATTACCGAAGGGAGTGCTAGGGTGCAGCGCGGGGCTTGCTCCACTTGGCATACCGTACGGTAATCCATCCTCTGATAGGAACTGTGGTCCTGAAGTGGTTCCCATTTGTTTTGTTTAGGAATTGTAGGTTGATTTTATCGTTTCCCACAGACGGCGCCAAACTGTTGACGCAGAAAAATGGTTCGGCACTTTCCCGCGCAACTTAGTGATTTAGTCTCTTCGGTATCTGATGTCCTCGGTAGGGTGTGCGATCTGTAAGATAGCAAACACACGGTAAATCCTAGGGCACCGGTGTGGTACCGGCCGAAGGCTCTCCGATGCTTAAGTAAGTACGGATTTAATAAGTTTGAACTGCAGATCAATAGGCAGTATGCCGTAAGTTCTGATTGATTACCTTCAAGCTGGGATGGATGTCCTCTTTTATAGGCCTTGGGAGGTGTGCAATTTGTTTAGAGTTTCGATGTGGGACTCTGGGCGTCAGTTGTGGGACTGCCACGCGTCAGGGGGCGAGGTTGCCCTAATGTTTCGATCGGTAGGTATTGTACCAAAGGTGGGTGCCGAAGGCACTCCATGGCCCTGGTTTAGCCCACGTGTTCGACATTCATTGGCTGTTCATTTTGGTATAAACACTAAGGCTATATTGTTTGTCTATATTAGCCGCGAAGTATGGGATTACAAATCATGGTGATTGGCAATATGGTTGGTAGTTCTCCAGAAAAGAAAAACTCCCAACTCCTTCAAAGGCCTTTAGTCTTTAAAATCGGACCTGTAATAACTCTAAATATCATGGTTATAGTGGTCTGATGTATATAGCATGGTTTTGATCACTTTTACATACTAAATTTTAGATAGATTGATATCTTCGACGTTTCGACAAGTACCTGCAATTGTATCATATACATCAATTATTAATGTTGCCTGAAATTTATATTTTGTACTAACTACCACACATAACCAACTACGGTATAAAAAATATGATCACTTTCTAATGTAGTTCACAGTGCTTGTATTAATTGATTGATGCGTTTGTTTGTGTCTCAACTACAGTGAGGAAGAAGCAAGGATGAAGATCTACACAGTTTCACATAGGTGCTATTATGCATTTGGGGCACTTGTGTCTGAAGAGACTTCGTACAAAATCAAAGGTACTTCTGCATCTATGCTTGGGCTTTTGGTTTTTTGGTTTTTTATCAAATTATTCCAGAATTGCCTAGCTAGAGTCCGGTGTGTACTTCTGTTTACACCATAATCAACCGAGCATATCCAGCCTCAAAGCGACTAGCACCAAAGGCACACACGCTTTCTTCCATGCTAAAGGAAAACAAGCTCCCGACTGCCGAAGCTCCCAAATTGCCAAACCTACTCTACAAGACACGTGTCACCACCACAGCGACCTGCGCAAAGTCCCACATCGGAAATCTACACAAACCTCCCACTTTCACCTCCCTATAAATAGGGAATAGTATCCATGTGAAAAGGGGACTTCCTCTCTCCACTTAGAAGAGGATCCGAGTCTCAGACTAGACCCTAGGGCCGGGGACTCTCTTCTAGATCCCTAGCCTTGGCATCTCACTTGTCATCTTTATATTCGGGTCCAACCCCATGTACAAATGTAATCATACACCGTTATAATGAGAACATACTTCTCCGTGGACGTAGCCCATTCATTAAGGGTGAACCACATATATCTTGTCTTCTTTACATTTATCGCTTGCCCAAGTTTGCACACATGCTTAAGGTCCTCACCTTCATTCATCCTCCATCACACCACATCACTAAGTTAGACTCAATCTTGGCCTAACCATTTTGAGCATCAACAACTTCCTGTCTCTATGAA